AAGAGATTTTGTGCTCATTTTAAGACTTTATTGAATTAATTGCCACATAATAAGCAAGCTCCTCTTCCTCACGGTTTCTTTTTAGGCCACTGCCTCCCGAGGAGTTGAACACCCTCATCTATGAAGCCAGTGGTCAGGACATCAGTATAGCTGTACTCACTCAGGTGAATCTTTAACATGCTGGGCTGCTACAGGACATTTCTAGACTGTGGTCTCACAGGTGTGAACTGTGTGTGTTTGTCATGTAGGAAATCATGGTCTATCTAGCTATGTACGTGCGCTCCCAGCCTGCCCTGTTTGGGGATATGCTCCGACTCAGGATAGGACTCATCATGCAAGTGATGGCCACTGAGCTGGCTCGCAGCCTGCACTGTTCTGGTAGGAAAACCACTTATAGTACACACACTTGTGAACCTACACAAACGACCCTGCAGAATAAACATGAAAGGCACCTTTGTAGGTGAGGAGGCATCTGAGAGTTTGATGAGCCTGAGCCCATTCAGCATGAAGAGCCTTCTGCATCACATCCTCAGTGGCAAAGAGTTTGGGGTGGAGAGGAGCAGTAAGCTTGTTTCTTTGTCTCTTTTTGTCTTTACAGTATAGTAGAGAAGAAAGTAGGTAAGAGAATTAGATAAAAAATTAAGTAACTGTATAACAAATAACTAAGATACAGAAAGCAAGCAGGTACATTTAAGAACTAGGAACTGAAGATAATTTAAGTTGTCTAATAATCACATTGAATTTCATTTTGCTGCAATTTTCAGTCAACCTCATAGCTGCAAAAACTGTTGCTAGGAGAAATTAACAATGTTTTTAGGGATGACAGTGCCAGTCGGTCCACCACATTGGTCCTATTTGATGGATTACATTGACACTTGATACAGGTATTCACTGAATCCTACTAACTTAAGTGATCCACTAACTTTTACTCTGCTGCTACCAGCAGGTCAAAGCCTTTACTTATCAGTGAAACATCTACCTGATGAACTTCCACTAAATTTTGTACAGATATTAATGTTTTCCAGACTATGTATTCTGAGACCTTCTAGTTGTTTTTCAACTAGGGAATGAGCTGTCAATGACCACAACATCAGTTAAAAAAAATCTGAGATGTTGACAGAAATTCAGCCAGGCTATAGAAGAGGTCTCTGTTGTCTCTGTTCATCAGTGCGTCCAATCCAGTCAATAGCAACTAGTCCTACCATCTCCATCCGTGAACTAGGCCACACTGGAGCCACCAAGAATGAACGAACAGGATTACACAAGCTGAAGAGTGACATAAAACAGGTGAGAAGCAAATGAAAGAGGACTGGATAGCAAACAGGTTGTATCTTTTTAAGTAGGATGTGGCATATGCTTAATATGCTTAGCTATCTATCTGTGTCTATCTATCTATCTATCTATCTATCTATCTATCTATCTATCTATCTATCTATCTGTCTATCTGTCTGTCTGTCTGTCTGTGTATCTATGAATAGAATAACAGTGTCCGTACTTCTGGTTGCAGCAGCTGGATGACTCTGGGCCTCTCAGTGTGGGTTGGGTTTGATAATATCAAGCATGTACCTTTTTCTGACCTCATTCTAACTAGCCAAACACCTGGCTAAGTCTTGCTCATAAACCACTTGCTGGCTCTTACTGTAACATTTTGTGAACCACCGCACTCTCATTGTTGGAACAACTTTCTATTCATCACATTTCAGTAGGAGAGTATGCTTTGCTACTCGTCAAAGTATGATACAGCAAATATATTTTTTGTAGAAGAGTATCTCATTTAAAATAAAATTTTTTCAAATTCATGAGCTCTTGAACCAATCCTAACCTTAATTAACCTGCTTATAAATAGCCCACCCCCATAGCTCATTCTGTTTCTCACTTGTTCATTTTTGTAGATCTGAATTACACCTTTCAATATTGCCTATAACATTTTGCTCTGTCTGCAGTGTCATCATGTCTGTAGTGTGAGAACCATTTGACCATATCAAACTGTTCTCTGTTGTCTGTCATCCATATCCATGTGTAGACCTTCAGCAGTGGTGTTTCCTTGAGTAGCAATGTCACTTCTCCTCACTCCACGGTAAACCATTTCACCTCATCTCTTTCAAATGAACTTGTATGTTCTCCCTAGGGTTGCCATAGTTAGAATGTACAGATGGGTGACAGATGTGTTAGACAGCATCTCCACCACCACCATCAAAACCCCAAATGAGGGAATATCTTTTGGAAGAAAGGTGTTCATCCCTCCAGTAGAGTTCAGAGACTTGTAGCATCAATGTCAAGGTGCACTGAAATTCTTTTGGTAGCATAACAATTCACTAAGACACTTTATGATGTTTTTTCCCTTTCATTTATCACCTGTCTGTATATGTAGACTGGGAAAAGTCATGCTAAAAACATATTTCATTCAGATTTCACCAAACATTCCACGTGCCTTTCTGCATTTAAGGATGAGGCTGGCGTTATTTGATCTTTTTATTATTGGCAACAAGTTTTTTAAAGAGCCCACACCCAAGAATAAATGTATGTAATCTTGTATTTGTGCCTAAGATCTATAATTCTAAAAAAACATATAGTAGCGACAATTCATTCACTGCAGTTAAACGTATCGGTGCAGTTTTTTCCTCTTTTTTTTTGTTTATTTCTTTGATGCACTGTAATTCTTTATTGTAATAAAGGATTGCAGCAGTATACAGTAGCTTTTTTATGCTTGGACAGTAATTCCTGGCAGCATCCACTATATAAAGCTGTGACTGCACAGACATACTTTGTTATTGTAGTATAGTAATTGTTAATAAAATTTAAACATACAATAACACCAGCCTGATCTTTGGTACACTCACCGACCACTTTATTAGGTACGCCTGTACAATGGTATGCAATTCAATACAACACTTCTGCCTTAACATTTAACATTTATGACAGTTTCACCAAAAAACTGAAACGTTTTGAGCTTCATAAACACAGATGTTAAGGCAGAAGTGTTGCACTGAATTGCATACAATTGTACAGGTGTACCTAATAAAGTGGCTGGTGAGTGTACATCTACTGAAGTGCCTTGTATTGCTAAGTGCATGCATGAATGATTGCACGGACTCTGTAACTTTGTGTGCATGTGTAGGCATGTGTGCAAGTCTCTCTGTGGTTGTGTGGACAGTTTGAAACTGTTGTAAAAATTAGGACATTTTGGCTGGTCCTCACAACTTCAGAGGGTTGTTTGAGGGTTACGTGTTGGTTTTAGGGTCAAAGTTTAAACAGGTTTAGGTTAGACTTAGTGTAAGGGTTGGCATTTAGCATTTAGTTGTTACGGTTAAGGTAAGGGGCTAGAGAAAGCATTGAGTCAATGAGTGTCCTCACAAATATAGAAAGACAAATGTGTGTGTGTGTGTGTGTGTGTGTGAGAAAAAGACTACTATATTTCAACCTTATTTACATGTACTTGTTATGGTATGACAGTTATTACTTTTGTCAGTACACTGTATCTCATAACAAAGTGCTCTGGTCACCACCACTAATCATAAACATGATGATGCAGTAGTCAGGAGTCGAGTAGTGGGAAGATTTAGTTCATTTCAGACTTAGGATCCCTGAGCATTCTCTTTAAATCAGCACTTACTAACCCACCCTTTGCCAGCTGTTAAACATGGGGATGGAAATATTGTGCTTTTCAGTTGCGTGGCAGCCAGTGGAACAGAAAACATTACATTGATAGAAGGAAGAATGGATTCCCCTAAGTATCAGCAAAATGTCATGTAGTCAGTCAAGGAAGTGAAATGGAAAATCGGTGTGGTCTGAAAGCAAGGACTTTCAGCCTGTGGTGGAAGAAACACAGTGGGACCAGAACAGAGAGGAACCTCGGAAGAGATGGTCAACCACAGGCTCCTCAAAATTACAGTCTGGCCAATCTTCCAGAAGCAGAATAGCACGATATGATGTAGAGGAGTGTTGGAGGTGGGGTTGAGCAGCTCTCCTGACTCTTGAACTGGATGTGAACTCCAGCTGGATGCCAGAGAAGTGAAGTGGTCAGTTAGAAATCTTGCTCATTCTCTGGTTAAAAAGAGCCTTCCTGTGCTACAGACACTACTGAGTGTAACAGTGTATATAGTGAATACATTTGCAGTACATGGAGATAAGGTTGAAAATCAAAAAGTGGTCCATAATATGTTCAGTGTCTTCCTCTTCTCCTACCACAGCGTTGCAGCAGCCCCTCCACCCCCAGCGGGGTGCTGTCCCCAGTGGGCACTGGCCCAGGAGATGGACAGCTGCACTGGGAGGAGAGACAAGGCCAGTGGCTGAGGAGACGCAGACTGGATGGCGCTATCAACAGAGTACCAATGGGCTTCTACCAGAAGGTCTATAAAATCCTGCAAAAGTGCCACGGCCTGTCTATTGATGGATATGTTTTGCCTTCTTCCAGCACAAGAGAGGTAGCGTCTGGCAGACTTGCAGTTAAAGCTGGATTTAGGATTTACTGTGTGTACGGATGTGTTAAGTTCTGTGCTTTCTGTGTAGATGACAGCAGGAGAGATCAAGTTTGCAGTGCAGGTGGAGTCTGTCCTGTACCACGTCCCCCAGCCAGAGTACCGACAGCTGTTAGTGGAGGCTTTGATGGTTCTAGGCATGGTAGCTGATGTAGAAGTGGACAGCATTGGTGGGATTATCCATGTGGACCGTATCCTGCATCTGGCTAATGACCTCTTCCTCAGCGACCAGGTACTACTGCTGGCAATAGTTAAATTTTTATTGACAAAATGTTTATGCATTTGTGCATGCTCACCAGGATTCACTTTATTCTACCTCTGCATACCCAGAAATCCCACAGTGCCAGTGATTATTTCCTTGAGAGGGATCCAGCAACCGGAATCTGCCACTTTTTCTATGATAGTGCCCCCAGTGGCAGCTATGGCACCTTGACTTATCTGTCCAAGGCGGTCATCACTTATGTTCAGGACTTCCTGCCCAGTTCTGGCTGCCTGATGCAGTGAAAAAGCGGAGTAGTGTGTCTTGCTAGCACCTGAAGAGATGTGCTTTATAACTAAAAGATCAACTGGTCCAAGGCGGCAAAGCCTGTCATTATCAGCTCTTAGAGGTCATGTAAGTATTTGCTCAATAAATAATACGTTTTAGCTCTAATATATTGATGTAAGGAAGCTGATATTATAAGAACCTGTTTCTTTGTGAGTCTTGTCTGTAAACCTATTTATTATTTAAATATACTGTTCATATATACTGTATGGTTATGGGACTGAAAAAAGTATTTTATTTAAAGTGAAACTTGAACAGAAAACAAACACATCTGCGCTCTTGGTATCATGTGACAATATTAATTAACAGTTGTCTGCTTTTAATTGAGCATGTCATGTAATGATTCTACTGACTCAAGCAGTTAACAGAGCAACAATTTTATCATGACTATTACTGCTGTTGATATTGTTACTGGATCCACCATTATAATTCTTATTTTATACTATTGCTACTCTGTAATTTAACATATGTGACACCTACTGTATCAACCATCAGCAACAAATTAGTACAGTGTAGACAATGACAATATAGGAATTAATGTATTAGTACTACTGTTTTTATTTGTTGTTGCCCACTTGACATTCACCACCAACTGCTAGTATATTCTTGTGATCCGTTATATCATCATTATAGTGGTTATCTTATTACTGTATCCATTATTAATATAATATATATATATGGATGCCCAGCTATGAATGTATTAGCCACTGCAACATTAAACTATAATATTATGACCATTCCCTTTTATTTATTATTTTTAATTTATTTCCACCCTGGCATCTGGGGTAAAAGAATCCAGGGCACCTTGCGGGATCTTTTGGAGTGGACAGCGTGGGGGAGGAAGGCCGGGTCACTGAAACACACCACCACTCAGCTGCTAGCCCCCTTATATACTCCCTCCTCAAGGTCTTGGAGCTGTTTAGAAAGGGATGATACAGCAGGTCAGCTCTCTCCTGTCAGGGTCAGAGGGCGAGGCAGAGCTGCATAATACCAGCTGCAACAACCAAAATAAATGTAAATCATAATAAACAATTAAAAGCATAGAAAAAAGTTCAGTTTATTAAACACAACAGTTCTGCTGTCCTGGCCGACCTCACCCTGATGTGCTGCTCTGGAGCTCCCTGATGTTGTTCTTGCTTCAATGCCAGTGGCTCAGGGTGGCCAAAGGTTTTATCTTTATTATCTATTTATTTTTCCCTCCACCACCTACATTTTTCAAGATTAATTAGAATCACACAACACACTGTCACACATCCCCGACCTGTACCAGTCTCTTGTACACTCACTGTACATGCTTATATCCTTAAGTTCTTTTGTAAATGTCCTGTATCTATTGTTTGCCTTCTGTGTTGGTCCTTTTTTTGCAATTAAAAAAATGAGTAAAGATATAAATCGTTTGCACACCAATTATTTCCCTCAAATGAATAATTGGAACTTTCATCTTCTGTCCTGTTCCATTTTTGTTTTTTCTGTTTTTACAGCAATGAGTGTGTATGAGCTGTTGAAAATGATGGTGCTCCTGCCACTAATGATAAGGTAGATGAAACAGTAGTAGATGTGATTTAGAGGGTCATATTTCCATAACTTTGTTTGCCTTTCCAGCTTCCTCTGACCCATACCTCCTGAAGCCAAGCTTCATGAGTTGCTTGGACCACATCTTTGACTTTAAAACTGGCAAACTGAATATGCTGCTGCAGGGGAATGTTTGGGTTAGTCACTTTAATCTGCTCACTGCTGGATATTTGAGATGGTGTACAAGACAACAAGCCAAATCTGAGGTTGGCTTCCTTAGAAGTGGTATTAACAGGTGTTGTAGTGAGATTGCTGCGGGGTCTTCAGAACTACAGCACTGTGGCGGTTTGGGTGTATTTGGCTTTTACACTTTGACATCTAAACTGAGTTCATCATTTCAGACTCTAATAAGGGAAAAGGGGATCAAATGATAAAGCTCTGAAGATAGAGCAAGTCAAGTCTATTTGTAAAGCAACTTTCAAACATGACTAAAAGCTAGTTTGTGTAGTTATAGGTGATTACAGTGCATTCTTTAGTGAGCTTGCTGCTTTGGAATAAATATGAATACAAGAAACAATTTAACATTTTGGGAAACAAACCCATTGACTTTCTTGCCAACAGTTAAACAAGAAGAGTGGCTCCACTAACACCTGAACAGTCCCTGAAGTTCGAGAAGCTGCCTACCTCACCCTAACATCAAGAACTAAAACTGCTAGCCTAGCTTTATCCAATGAAATCTGCTTATCAGCACCTCAACATCTCACTAATTGTACAAAAATATAAGTGTAAAAATGTCAAAATCCAGTTGCCAGACAAGACCAGAGACTCCTGGCCAAGAAACAGTCACCCTAAAATTAGTTTTAATATAGCCACCCAACTACAAATTTACTGAACAGATATGAGAGGGGTATAATTCTTGTCTACCTCTTGCCAAGAAAGCAAATGATGCTACCAAATTTTATGGCAATCCATCCAATAGTTAGAGACATTTTTACACTGAACTAAAAACCTGCTGAAAGAGTCAGAGAATCACCGATGTCTTAAGGAGTAATTTGGAAACGCAAATGTCTGTACAAAATGACATCCATCCAAGAGTTGTCAAGATATTTCCCTTTGAAACCACAGCGGTGGATGGACCAGTCTACTGACCAGAGCCATGATGCTAAAAATACAGTAACATCTTACAAAATGCACTAATAATTGTGCATCACCAAATAACAGCTTAAGAAATTCTTCTTATTCCTGCTTCTATGCTTTCCTTCCTCTGTCTTCATGAATACTTCTCTCCATCCATCTTTCCGTTGAGTTGCTGATCCTTGTTGTCCAATTTGTGTACCACTCTGAAGGCCTCCAGGAACTCGGTGAAATCTATACTGCCATCCTTGTTGAAGTCGATACTTCGGGCCAAGTCATTGATGGCTCTGTCATCAATGTTAACCCCCAGATGGGCACTGAAAAGACGCCAGGTGTGACGAAATTCTTCAATGGAGATCAGACCTGAGCATAACACGTGCCACCCGCACATTTACTTTTAGGAATACGTTTTGAATTATTGAAAGAGTGCACAGATACAGTATTTATTTACCTGAATGGTCTTTGTCTATGATGTTAAATATTATCTCAATGTCTGTCCTGTATCTGAACAGAGTTTCAGCCAGGTTTGGAGTGACCTAAAAGAGGAGAGGAAATGCTAAGTAGATAGATGGTAGACAACTAAAGCTCTAGTTGTACTGATTAGCAGCAGTGAAGTACTACAGTTTATTAAAGTACTAAGTAGTGTTATATTCCTAAGAGCACCAGTACTACTTGGGGAAGAAAAAGTAAAAGGTACTGCAGGTGATTAACAGTACACAGTCTGGGTATACGTTTGTAGTTTAAATGACATGAAGAAAAAGCTGCTGAATTCAGAAAAGTGAACATTTAATACACCCAAAACAGGATGTGCATAAATAAAGCCACAGAGAACACAAACTGGCAGTCTGGTTTGTAATGTGTTTCAGACTTGGTGCCATTCCTCATGCTGGGGAAATGAAGTGCTATTTATTGTCTATATTTGTGTACATATTAAATTCTTAAGCATTCAGTTGCAATTACTTTCCATAACCTCGTCCTTTTACTACAGTTTAAAGTGAGATAAAACCAACTATTGCACTGCCATCAATAATGAAAAAACAATTTTTAAGCTAATAACTGCAGCAATCACATAAATGTAGTGAAGCAAAGCACGTACTGTGTTTCTGTATAAAACATACACACATCTCCAAGCATTTAAATACAGTACTAAATAAAAATTGATGGTATTTAAAACAGCAATAAAAGACATCAAGTAAATGTACTTGGCTACTTTCCCTTCTGACCTGAGACAGATGACTCCCTGGTCCCATGTCCTGGAAGCAGGACGGATAATCCACACCGCCATCTGGTGCCAGACGGGTTAAGTGTGGACGAAGTGTCCTCCATGGCAGATCGAGCCTCAGCACAGACTCCATCACCTGAGCCCATTCACTGACTGACATGCTACCTGCAAAATGATATGCATACATATAACAACCATACATGTTGAAAATAAATATATGTTTAAAAGAAAGATAAAACAGGGTGGGTGAAGCTCACCGGTGTTATTTCGGTCATACTGCTGGAAGCCTGCCATCAGCTCAGAGCGATGGGCGAACAGCTTCTCCTTTAGTGCTCGGAGAGCAGAACCTTCAGCAGCTCGTACTCTGCAAACACAAAGGTAGACAAGGTGTAAGCTAAAACTGAGCTTTCTTACATCATTTACAGATGTCTATATTCATTACTGATTAATCAATTTAATCTATTAATCACTTGGTGTATAAAATGTCACAAAATCTGGCCATCACATTTATACAGAGGCGACGGTTGCATATTCAACAGTCAGAAGATCAGAAGATCTTCCCACTGATAAATGCCCTCAACAAATCCATTTGTCAAAATGGCAGGTAGATATTTTTTTGAATGATTTTTTAACATTCTTTGTGCCTTGCTTGTTTGTTTTGTTTATTTTGCATTCTTGTTTGCATGCAATTATTGTTTATATTCTTTATACGTATGTTTGTGTACTCTGTAAAGCATTTTGAGTTACCTTTCGGCTGTACAAATAAATCTGCCTTGCCTTTAATCGACTAATCGCTTGAGTACTATTATGCCCAGATGTGTGTTATAATCTCATCCATTTTACACCAACATATACAGTACACACTGGACACCTGCTGTACCTCTGTGTCAGAGTGAGTTTGCGAGTTGTGCGGCTGACTTGGTACTGGTAGAAGCGAGGAACCAGTTCTCTGCCCAGTTTGATGTAGGCACCACGGTTGCTTCCTTCCTCATAATAGTTTGATGCTGAGAAAATGGTGATGACCTATAGGACAAACACCCATTTATTTCTCTAGATTCAAACATTTTAGACATTTTAGTTTTAGAATAACTTCACTGCACCCAGTCTACCTGTCCACCATGACAGAGCTCATATCCCTCCTGTTTGCACTCGTGGGATCTGATGAGCAGCTGGAGTCCGTGGCGGAGCAGCAGTCTCTGGGTGACGTCAGGGCCAAAGTAGCATCCTCCTCCCCTGAATGTGTTGGGGCTGCAGCCTTCTTGGGGTTTAGGGTCACTCCACAGTATATCCACTATCTTCAGGAGAGGGAAAAGCTGATAAAATGCTGAGTATGACACAGACCAGATCAGGGCAGAGTTGAATAACATTAAGTGCTTTTCCACTGAATTCACTCCTCTTACCTGTCTCCATTCACGTTCACGTTGTGGAGCTGAAGGAAGGGGAACAGAGGACAGTGAGTCCAGAAAAGGTACCTGGAGGATATTACCAGCATCAGGCATGCTAGGAGAAGTTGGGCATGGATGAGACGAGAGGCAGGATGGAGTTCTAGGAGAGCGGAGTGAAGAGGAAGATGAGGAGGAGGAGGAAGAACTGGAGGCAGCTCTGTCATGCTGGCTGAGCCCACATCGCCTCTTTCTACAGAAAAAAAGAGGTAGAAGAGAAGTTCTGTCACTTCAAACAAATTTAATTGTGCAGTGATCTCAAAAATTAAAATGTCTGTAAGCATCTCTTGGCTGCTGTCAGACCTCTGGCTGGGGGTTCTTTGGTTCTTGCTGTTGCTCTGACTGCTGCTGGGAAGAGAGTCTGTTGATCTCATTCTTTTTGCCTCTCTGCAGGAGTGACCGATGTCCACCTGCTCCAAACTGCATCTGGGAAACCTCAGAGCAGATTTCACCTAGAAGTGCAGAGAAGAAAAAGCAACAGTATTTGTTTTCTAAATTGAAGTTCAAACTGATATACGTTGAGTGTCTAAGGATAGAGCACACTGTACATTTAACAAACTAAAGCCTTTTGAGGCAAACTGGAGATCTGTGATTTTGTGCTGTATACAGAAAACTGACTCGACTTAGTATGTACAGATCCTGAGTCTTTGAGTCTTAGGTTGTAGAGATCCTCAGTACAGTACTAATTCTTACAAAGATAAACATAACTACTAGAACTACCTAAAATGCATTAAAATTGAGCTACTTTGTAATAAAGGATTGGACATTTTGTTGCATCCATGTCCTCCTCTACTTCAAACATTAATATGTGGACGTTGCCCAGGACAACCACAAACTGACCTGTGACCACTGAGCAGCTCCACTGGGGTGGGTTGGGGTTCTGCTCAGGGGCACCAAAGTTGCATTAATGGGGGGGCATGCACTGCTTTGTCACCTGTCCCACCCAGATTAAATCACGCCAGTTCAGGGATTAAACGAGGGCCCTTCCAGTCACGAGTTAACTTCACTTACCTTTAGGCCACCACTGCCCAATGTTAAAGAAAATATTGACTCCTAGTGGCCAAAAGCAATTATTTAGGTTAAGACTATGACAGGAGGATGGGTTGTAGATGAAGGGTGGCTGTTTGCCTCCACTGACCTTGTACCTCTCTATGCAGCTGAGGAAGTCCAGGTCAGTCTGGTCTGATATCCCACCATGAACAATCAAGATCTTTCCATCAATGACTGTAGCGATGGGCAGAAGGCTGAAAATGTCCTGGAACAGCTGGAGGATCTCACGGCCATGAGTCTGCAAACAGTCATGCACACAAAAAAGGAAATTCATTTCACTTCTCTGGGCCCCTCAGCCTAATTAATCCGACTAACTTTAACAGCTGTGACAACCGGCAATTACTGCACCGCAGCCTGCAGAACATGCCACTGAGTTCTGTACACACAGTAATAAAAGCAGAATATCTGGACTTTACCTTGTATTTTTGCATGACTTCTTTTGTGAACCCATATCTGAAACAACAATGTACAGTTAAAAACAACACTGACTATTATTTGACTGCCCTACTGTAGACTAAGAAATGTTTTCGTGCATTTCTACTCCTCTTCTGCCAACCTGAGGTTCATTATGTGGTCTTCATGGTTTCCTCGGTTCAGGTGCATGTAGTCGGGGTAAAGCAGAAGGTACGCAAACAGGAGGATGACCACTTCAGTTGACTTTTTCCCACGGTCCACAAAATCCCCATTAAACACATATGGTGTTTCTGCAGAGGGAAGGCCATTCTGAACAACAGCAACACATTCTTATAACAACAGTAAGATCAACACTCTATCATAAGGTTTTAAAAATTCCTGAGTAGATATTTCTGCTGGGTGGCTTTGACAGTCACACACATTTGCCTGTTTAAATCTCTTGTATTTATATAAAAGCACTATATCTATATGAAACACTGCTGTAAAACAAATAGTTAATGATGCTATAGAAATTTCCTGTATAGAAAAAAATCCAGGTTTACCTTATAAAATATGAGGAGTAAGTCATCAAATCGCCCATGAAGATCACCTGTACCGAAAGGAAAATCACAGCGGTGAAGAATACACATTTACAGACATCAGTTATAATTTAACCAGTAAGCAGGTCATTCACTGCACTATGGGATGCACAAGCAGTGGCATCGCAGCAGCAACTTGTTCTCCTTTGGCCATGTACTCAAAAATGTTTGAATTAACAGGTGAAACAGAGGTCATGGCCACCCACCACATATAGTGATTTCTTTAGTGTAGGATGTTGATAAGTGGATAATGTTGGGCATCTGTTTGAGGAGCTTTTTGGTCTCATACAGCAGCTGCAGAACATATTTGGCATGTAGAGTCTGTGTAGAAAAAAAGTAAGAGTCTCCAAAATCAAAATCAAATAGAAAGTCAAAATCCATAGTGAGGAAGACCAAACACATGTATTTGGTACCTGCTGCTCCTTAAATGCACTGAGGAGAGCATTTGTATCAGCGACGGAGAGAGGAAAGGAGAGTCGGGGTCCAGTGTACGTCTCTGGAACAGGGATCAAGCTGTAGCAGGTCTCTCTGTCTAACCAGGGGTCAACCACCGGGTCCAGCAGCTGGGAAATCAAGTCTGGAGGACACAGTGTGTGGAGCTGTGAACATACTGAGCTCAAGCCTCATTCTTGCTGATGTCTTTGAGTTTGACAGAAATGAAAGTTAGAGCTCCACAAACATAGTTTTACACATCCTTCTCAGATCTCTGCTGCCTGCTCTTCACCTGTGCTTGAAGCTAAATCTTTGAGGCTACATTAACTCCTACTAGCATAACACACCCAAATCTCCAACTGCTGACAGTTCAGTTGGAGTTGCATTGTGGGTAACGTAGGCACTATGCTGAAAAGAAAGACATGTAATAAAAAACAATATTTGTGATTCTTCTTCCATTATAAAAAGACACTGAATAGCAACCAGCCTGTCTTCAAGTATAATGGATATCCAAATTTTTGGAGGCAAAAAAAATGAAAGCATTCAACCACTTAATGAAATTTGAATTAGTGACACAACAGCACATCCAGATCTGTGTCTCAGTGGGTTGTATCAAAAGACCACTCCAATGTACCAATGACCTATAATTTATGCAAACAGAAAGGCATGAAAAGACATGAACCTATAGGCCTGTTTCTCTTTTGTAAGTCTTTTGTCTATTTCCCCCTTTGTGTTTATTACAGTAAAATTCCTTTATTCTGTGGTGGACACACAGACACAGATGTTGTATATAAATAAATACAGACTGGCCTCTTTGCATCATTTGTGTTGACGGAATGTAAAACCCATGAATGGGATGTACTAAGGATGCTAAGCAATAAAGGCTGGCCTAAGTATTAGCTTGTCAGTGGAGCATTATGCTTTTTAGCTGGATGAGTGGGTCAGCACACACTTAAACCACAGCTGTGACCGTGCAACACACGACACACTGTCCTCCACATTCACAGTAGTTGCTAAGCAACAGGGTATATGCAGTGGGTTTTCTGATCAAGCCCAAAATACAGTGGCATGACTAACAAAACGGGTGTTAATTTGATGGAAGTAAAAATTATATCTTTATATAATCTTCCTGTGTTAGACCACATTTCCAGCAACAGCCGTGAAAAACCAATTAATGACTAAAGAACTTGTTAAAATGAGTGTGGCTAAAATGTCCTCTCTCACTTTTTAAATTTATATAGACATGAATGGTCAACACCCTCCTTTGCTCATTCAGTTTCACACTACAATAATATTAAATAATATATCTTTTTAAATAGAACCAATTTTTACCACCAACACTTCCAAATAACAAGGATGATATTAAAGTCTTCAGTACACATAATACTAAATAATCCACATTCTCTACAGGTGGGAGTGGCTCCTAACCTGGCCCATTTCCATTCAGCTGAGTAAAGTTGTCCAGCATGAAAGTGAAGAAACTGGAGAGCTGAAGACAGAAAGAAGCAAAAATGGATTTAAACTTTGTGATGCTTCTGGAAATTTGCATGCACATGTATTTCGGGTTTCCAAGCAGGTGGACAAGCGTGCACCGAGATTCACCTGTAGCTGGTCCTGTTCCCTGGCATACTCAATGGACTGAAAGATGTTCCAGGTGTACCTGCGTCTCATCTCAAGACGAGCCATGTAGCGCCGGTACCATCTCTGGATCAAAACAGCTGCTTTCATAGCTACAAATAAATACCAGCTGTTACATTTTATTTAGATTTAGACTTGTTAAAACATCTTACCTCACATTTATACAGTGTGTGAATATGACTTCCATTTAGTGTTCTGGCACAACATGTGTGTTTCATTTGGACTATTTCCTTACATTACTGTCTCTAAATCAAGATCTGATTCTAATCCAGAAAATAAAGCTAATTGTACTGCATCTTTAGTATATTATCATCATCCCGCGACCCCATTCAGGACTAAGCGGTATAGAAAATGAGAGAGAGAGAGAAAAATCATCATTAGATGATGATAGCGGGGTGATTTCTAAATGTAAAAATGTACACAGATAAACACCCATGGATGCATGGACATTTCATGTATTGCTGGAATAATGTTTAGAAATGAGCAGGATCTTACTGAGAGCCGGGCTGGGACTCTTAACCAATTCATCTGTGAGAGAGAGAAAAAACATTACAACTCAGCTTAAGAAAGTGGCAATTGAATAAAATGATGTGCAAAGCAACACACACTGAAAGAAAGATAACAAGGCACAGGGGAGGCCGCAAACAACAGGGAGACTGGAAAAACTAAACAGATTAAAAGAGCTTTCATGAGAAACAGCACTCAGACTGTGAAGAAAGAAAACCACCATCTGTCAAACATCTGGGCTGTGTGTGCGCAACAGGTCTGAGAATGTACTACTGCACAAATTAACTGATTCACACTATACAGTGTGAAATTGGGATGAGTAAAATAGTAAACCATAATACTGTGAGACTAATTCTAATAATACATGATTTAAGGAGTCCTTCCTAATGAAATGCACCATCTACGAGGCGAGCTGACTGCAGTCTTCTTCAGTATTTAATCCGACACAAATGATTATTTTCATCAATAATTAGTTTGCCAATTACTTAGTCTTTCTATTAAGCAAATAATTGTTAAATTTTTTAAATTAAAAAAAGTGACAAAATCAGGGTCAAAATGAAATTTTAACACATTGTATCCAAAAGCTAAAACTTCTCAGTTGACATTTTTACATTTGAGAAGTTGTAAAGAAACAATGTTTAATATTTTGGCAGAAACAGGAGTTACTGTATCTTTTTTAGGCATTGCTAAAAGCATCATCCACGTGTATGTCTGAGCTTGCACTCCAATTAGTATTAAGCCTATTTGTGCTGAGCTTGTCTACAGACCGGGTGTCCAAACATGTCAGCTCTAATTTGACACCGCAACTTTCCTCAAGGGGAAACACGTCCAAATGTCCAAACTCCCCAGATGACAGAACAAAGAAAACATGAGTCAGTCCTGGATGGACTGGAAGGACCATAATAACACAACCTGCTTTTACAAGCAGTGACATTTTGTGCACCCCAGTGCAAAGCAGTCACACACCTTTACCTGTTTCCACTCTTCTCCCCTGGGTGTTTGTGGCAACAGAGGCGCCACATCCCATGATGACCAAACCCAAGGTCCTGTGGTCATTTAAGACAACTTTTCCCAACCTGGTAACAGTGGGTCACATCTGCTGGCTTATGGCATGTGACTGCTGCACATCAAGCTAGAAAGTAGGAACACAGTTGTTATGCTGCACCAGCCAGTGATTGTCAGAAAGAAATACATCTCACTCACTGCTTTTTCAAATGTTTGTTCAAAATCCTAAAAATGCTTAACCCAGTCCCAGAGCACAGCGGCAGGGTTTATGACAGTATAAATTTCTATGGTAAGAAGCGGCTCCTCCTCTCTCAGCTTTCCCATAAGCAGAGGTCAGTAGGGGTCAGGGTTGTTTAAAATATAAATCTGTGTGTAATGCAGACATTAGATCAAACTGATAAGATTTTTGGTGAAGGCTCGATTATCCAGTTTATCGTGGAACTTATTAAAACTCCAGCAATGTGCACGCGTCGGACATCATTAATAACGTTGGGAAGGAATAAAATTAAGCTTGTGAACGGCTGCTAATTGCTTCAGCAGTCTCACACAGCCCCTGCTTTTGACAGATCAGGGAAATGTAACCAACAATAAAGTCAAGGAAAATGTGGCTTATTGCGCACCACTTTCCTCACCTCTCACATTACAGCGGCAAACTGCATCCTACTTATTTTATCCGCTGCAAGTAAATCACAGCTTTTGATGGTTCTTACCTGCAGCTTAAATCCGCCCGATCCGATCATGAATGTGGCACACAATCCATGTAACGCACGGAAATTTGCATCGGAACGGCAGACAAAACGGTTCGCTGCAGTACTGTTTAGAAAGGACACAACAAACGGGTCTGTATTGTAGCGGCGAGGTGTTGGCAGATAACTGCCGCTGCAGGACAGCCCACAGGGGGCTGGCGGAGGAAGCAGGTGGTTTGAATCAGCCACAATGTGAAGGGGCCGCTGTTCCACCTTCTAGGACTGGAAATATCACCCCAGGTAACTGCCAGAGTGTTGGTGCCAATTTGACTCATTTCTAAGTGCCCATTGCTTCTGTAGGGAACTGTGGACTTTTGTCATTTTATTGCAAACAAAAAAAAAAAAAAGAAAGAAATTAGCAGATATGGACAACCAATTTAAAAGTTTTGATTAGCTGAACACCAGAAAGCAACAAGCCAGAGATGATGCGAGGAAAGGCTGACATTTCATTTAGGGCACATGTTAAGTCTGCCCAGTCCTTCTGCAGCGTTTAACAGAAACTCAGTTGAACTGAAGGGATAGCTCATGTGAATTTAAAAACCAAAAAGTCCTATTGGCATGTCCCAAGCACATTTAAATCAAAATCTGAACAGTGACCTCAACCTTTTAAGTGAGCCAGACCCAAGAAATGCAACCAGAGAACTGTTATTCCAGCATCATGTCAGGGATTTGCTTCTCTGACCCTACTACTAACAAAACCCATTTCTGCAAACTTTAAACTTGCCATCATTTAGTTTACACAAAACATGGATAAAAGGTAAATGTAATTTAAATCTTTAATGAGTTAAACAATAAAAATTTGTCTTAAAAAACTCATTTGTTCAGTCAACTCATCATGCAGCAGTTCTTGTATAAATCTTCTGTTGTACAACTGCAACAGCAGCACTGATCTCCTGTGTGGTGATGGTCTTTAGCCTGCTGGTTTGGGACAGCCGGGAAGCCTCTGTGCTCACCAGTCTGAGCAGAACCGGTCTGGGAAAACCAAGGCAGCTGGCCCGAAGGTCTGGACTCCTCATTCCCACCAGGCAAACCTGTGGAAGGGAAAAAGTTAACAGACTGAGCAGCACTTAAAGACTAGGAGCTCTTTCTTGGGTTTAACCCAACAGGACAGTATCCTGCACAGGCCTAACATCCTCTAGAAAACTTTGGAATTGCTGCAATAATACACTCATCTGATGAAAGAAGAATTTTATGTCAGGGTTTAAACACCATATGCCCATGTAAGCTACAGCTGTCACTCTGACCTCTTTACAAGCCCTGTAGATGAAAGCAATATAAGCACGACTCCTCTTCTTTGTTGGTGGAGGAATCCTGCGAGTTGCTTGGACAGGAGCCTTCATGTTGTTGCAATAGACTTATTAAAAACACAGGAAGAATTCAAGTGCTGAGTACTTCAGCAGCTTTTTATAGCGTCACCATTAATATGCACAGAATAGACAAGAGCGCGAGGAGTGAGAAGGATGTATAATTGAAAACAGCTTTCCTTAATTAGGCTTGATTGCTTTCACCCACCTGCCTTTAAAACCCTCAGCGTGAGTTCAGACACCTTTAAATATTGAGTGTAGAGAGTGCAGTCATGATCAAATAAAGACAGGGACAAGACTGCATAGCTTTGTTTAAATGTGATGACACCTGTTAATCAGGTAATGAACATTTTTAACTTTCTACAATACTTCCAAACTTTAAAAAAAAGATTCTAGTAGTCTATGTTTATATGACAATATCAATAAAAAAAAATCTGCTGTAGTTCTCAAGAGAGAAATCTTCTTTGCTCTCATGTCTTTATTATATATTTTTTCTAAATCCTTTTCCAATGAGGATGTACAATATTTCAAAAGTTAACTCAATAATCTCTAATTCCCTAAGATTTTTGGGCACCTCTCCTTTCTCTCATTTTACAGTTTATTTGGACAAATTCAGTTGTGGGCGGCATGGTGACGCAGTGATTAGCATTGTCGCCTCACAGCAAGAATCCCTTTCCTTTGAGTCAAATGTATATTTGACAGAAACATCTTGCTAATTACTTGAGGCTATTGTGAAATTTAAATATAAACAAAACAGGAGAAATAGACAATGTATGTCTACATTACTACGTTAAAAACCATATTCATTCACTACTATCTGTTGCGCTCACTCACATGCATCACATACAAAACTCACATTTAATGCTCACATGCACACACACCAGATCTGTCACATAACTGACCGCTGGCCAGGCTGGACTTGTGTTTGTTTGCAGGCTTGTGATTGTGCAGTGATTTGTAGAATGTACGGTGATGGGTGAACAGTTGTAGGAGGGGCTTTGTCAGATAAGGGTGGCATGAGATAAGGTCATTAGTGTCCTGTGGATTACTGTAATCATCCTCTCTATCATTCTTGGTTTACCTCTTCACTCTACAGTCGGTCTCGTCTGGTTTGGAGCAGGGTCAATGATGGCTCTCACTGTGCGCTGTTTCCTGTTGGCCCTGCTTTTTCTGGGAACCGAGGGTACGATTTCAGTCTTTACAGTCCTTCTGCTACTGTTGATATTGTGTAGCAAACTTGATTTCTCTGTGTTGTGTTTACTTCAGCAGTTTATACGGACAGATTGATGCATAGAGGTTGTTTGCTAGAATGGGTGACTACTATATATTCTAACCACTTCCTTTCTCTTCTGTGCTTCATTCACTGGCTGGATGGTTTTTTGTTTGTTTTTACATATTCCTGGACAGTGCGCATCCACACTCATGGTCAAGAGGTATGAAAAAAACCTCAGCAACACAACAAAATGCCAGAGATAATTTTCTCTTAGAGTGTGAAACTCACTTAGCACATCATCCAGAATTTGCATAAAACACTATTTTAGAATTATCTTTAGGTGAGGTGTTTTTCATTGAAAAACACTGGAAATCTGCTCTGATGAGATGGTTCATTGTCTTTTGGGTCCCCCCCCTCTAATCAGCTATATTTTAAAATAACAGCATTTGAATTTTTGCTATGATGCTGCTTTGGATTAAATATTGTTTTTGTGTGTTTCTATAAGATGAGTGTGTCTGAGGACTGGAGCAAGTCTTGCAAATGTGAATGTGATGGAGCAGAATCCCCAACTGAATTTCCGTCTACTAGCTCTGGCTCTTTGAAGGTGCAAGGAGTGGACTGCATGCCAGGTAAGAAGCATCAGATACAGTCCTCTCTCAGATTTAAAACCAGACTAGTGACTGTTTACTTTTTTATTCCACAAATGAGGCACTTTCTAAAAATACACTCATTCATTTGTGCAAAATGGTTGGATTCCATTTAGAGCACCTCTCCATTCCACATGATTTTGTGGTTTCCTTAAATTACCATTCATTTCATATCACAGATGCACTTTACCACATGTGATTACTAAGGAGGCCACTCTTTGACTTAATTAAATGACCTTTGGTGATTAGATGGTCAAATGGCATCATTAAACTACTAATCATACTTATAATGAAGAAGTATTTATGATGAGTGAAAATTGACCTGAGTGGATAAAAACATGAATATCTGGTTTAACCTGATGGAAACATGAGACAGTAGGTCTTACCAGTTAATTTGTCAAATATTTTCTCGATTATTGAATTAATAATTTTGTTTATGATGTCAATTTTTTCTAATATAAAACAAAGTAAACTTCAGATCTTCACTTTTGTGAAGCTGAAACCACTAATTGAATAAAAAATTATTTAAATGAGTAACTATCAAATACTTGCTGGTTAAATGAAGCACAATGAATCATTTTTGCTCTACAGTCCAGATGAATAGAGATTGTGTATGTGATGGAGGGAGAAAGAAGGCAACTGCACATGCATGGGTGCATTGCAGTCGGTTTTGACACCACAGGGCGGACACGCTCCACTGGACATCTGGATTAAAGCTCCACTGTGCATATGCATTACTGTAGGTCATGTTCATCAAATTTACCATTGGATGGAAATCTCCATTTCTGTGATCACCTCCCTCTCTTGGCCTGGGGTTTGACATTTCACCAAATCTCTTTGAGGCATGTAAACCTGTTTTTGCAAGAAGACAGACACACAAAGCCTCACTGGGACTGAGATATAAAGAGCAGGGTTGAAATTTGAAGAGAGAAAGATTTGATGTACAGTGAAAGGGTTTTCCTCGCAGTGTGTGTCAACTGAGTCACAAATGACATGGCACCGCTGACGGACAGGACAAAGAAGTTCAGCAGATAATTATTATCTCAGAGCATGATGCTCAGATTACAGGGCTTGTAATAGGCTGTGCCGATCGCATATCTACAGCAACCAGTGATTACCATGACATGGACCTGGTGATGATAAATGATGAATGAGAGAGACTTTTCCTGTGCTGTATCAGACATTACAGTAGAGCTCCTCAGTTCTTCGTCTTGCGAATCTGTTTTATTTGAGTCTGGAAATAAATCAGGCTGCGCAATACAGTCACTTGCATCACTGTTATGTAAAAACACTTACCTCCTGACTGACTCACACAAACGCTGCTGTATCTTTTGTAATACTGGGATTAGACAGGATGTGACCCTGTGCCAAATAGGTTTAAGCCAGTAGTAAACAAAAGCTCAGCAGGCTACTTCCACTACAGTCTCTGGGCCATGCATCCATAGCTTTGTTTTCTGAAACTATAGATGATAAACCCACTCGTGCAGCTCTCTCATCGTTTCCATTCACATATTTATAAAATATATTTACTAAATCAGCAGAGGACGTGTCCTTATGTGTTAATGAAAATGAAAGGGCAGATTGACAGGTCAAAACATGAGAGAATCACAGAGCTAAAGCTGTGGAGGGTAGAGCATGGCCATCTGTCCGCCTGCTGCCCTAATGGACATCGCTGATCTGTGGAGAATCACTGTGGAGAATTAAACTGCGGGCTTTTAGGATATGGGTCACACTAGGGCTGCTGATGGTGGGGGCTTTAGGAGCAGAAGGGTGTGAGGACTGGAGTCAGCAGGGATGAGGACAGAGAGGTGAAAGGATGGTGAGATGGAGAATTGTGAGAGGCTTAATGATAGTCGTTTGTGCTCAGTGCTTTACTGCAGGCAGACATGTTGGTTGTTCTATATTAAGATGGTGACCTTGAGGTCTTTAAGTGGAAACACAATGATCTTAACTGAAATAACGTAAGAGATTAAAATTACACTAATCCCAGGGTTATAACTTTGTCTCTGATCCCCTGCAGAGTGTCCGTACCACAAACCTCTGGGCTTTGAGGCCGGATCAGTGAGTCCAGACCAGATCATCTGCTCCAACCAGGACCAGTACACTGGTTGGTTCTCCTCGTGGCTCCCAAGCAAGGCCCGGCTCAACAGTCAGGGCTTTGGGTAGGTCCAGGCCAGCAGACAGACTTTTCTTTACATTCACAGAATTTTACAAATAATGTAAAGCAAAAATCCACTGTTTTATATTGATATGTAGTATCTTTTTAATCACAGATGGTGAATACTAAGGTGTCAAAACCTCTTTGTTTTCATTTTCAACTTGTAAAAAAGGCAGTTGACTGTACTGTCTCTTGGAAAGATCCTCATTAAAATGGCTGGGCACTTACTGTACATTCTGTGAGGAACATTATTTAAAAACGCTCAAAGAAAATGTCACTATAGGTAAAATGCATTTTTTGTGTTGACATGTCAAATATAAATAATATAAACATGCAAAATGAAACAGCTGACACTGAGGAGCCATTATGCTCAGAATTGAAAGGTACTGTATGTAGTTCTGCAAATTCTTTGCTCCAATATTATGAAACTACCAAGTCTGAAAATTACTTATGTGGTGCATCATACTGAAGGTTGTGGGTGTCTCTGGACAATCCCAGCTGACATTGGGTGAGCTCTATCACAGGGCATCAGTCTTATTTCTTTAACCAAATACTTACCAATATCAAGCCTCATGGAGAGAACTGGTGGTGTATCCTTTTCACTGACTGTAAAAAAACAACTGTGAAGTACCTCAAATTAGCATAAAGCCTCACTCAGATGGTTAATACTGTGGATGGTGCAGGATCATGTCCACTGTTTGTCTTGCAGGTGTGCGTGGCTGTCTAAGTTCCAGGACAGCAGTCAGTGGCTGCAGATTGACCTGAGGGGGGTGATGGTGGTGTCAGGGATCCTGACTCAGGGTCGCTGTGATGCTGATGAATGGGTCACCAAGTATAGTGTTCAGTACCGCACAGACGAAAAACTCAACTGGATCTATTACAAAGACCAGACTGGAAACAATAGGGTCAGCTGATGCCAGGCACAACAACAAAACACTATAGATTTCATTATGATCTGAATTTTTTGTTTTGTGCTGTTGTTTTGGCAATAATGAAAAGCATTGTTACTATAGCACTACATCATGATTATTATTACCTGAAGTGGTAGTAATGACAGTAATAGCATTAATATGAAAAACACTGTATACTGTCTCATTTAGTCTATCATTTTAATCTATGCTACATCCCAACCTTGGCCTCATTTTTTTCCTCAGGTGTTTTATGGAAACTCGGACCGCTCCTCGTCTGTACAGAACCTCCTGCGGCCACCCATTGTGGTGCGCTACATCCGCATCCTCCCCCTTGGGTGGCACACACGCATCGCTCTGCGCCTGGAGCTGCTGCTCTGCATGAACAAATGCGTTTGAACCTCTCCTTCCACTGTCCCCAAGTCCTAGTCCCAAAACCTCATCCACTATAAACCTAAAGCTCCGTCATCAAAGTGTGTGGTTTGTTATTTTATCCACAAATTTGACCCCCACCAGCTACATGTATAAAATCAAAACCTGAGGTAAAAATATTCTGTTTAAATCATTTTAAAAACACAAACAAAACAGTTTGACTTGCGGGATTTCATTTAAAAATTTGTTTGATATGCTCAATGAGCTTTCATTCACTCCACTCTCCATTGTCTGTGTTGAACCACTCTCACACCGGGGGCTTTAAGTTCTCAATAGATTGGTCCTTTTGCAGTGGAATGGCATAAATTCAAAGCAATAATTAGACATGGACAGGGAGAAGCAGCGTTGCTATGGAGGTTGTTTTCACAGGCCTGAGACAAGCTCATCCAAAACATTTGTGTCCTGTCACAGGTGAATTTTTGTCTCCATCCCTGATAATTAGTGGTTAATTCCTTTAGTTTTATGAACATGGGTGTTGTAGTTTCTTTTGAGTCAGTAACACAGACGCTGTCCTGTTGCTCTAATAGTCAATGGTTCAATGTTTTTTTTAACCCACAGCTGAAAATAGTCCCCAGCAAATGCAATATTTTTTTTTTTGTTTGAATGATGTTTTGAAAAAAGCATTTTTTTTAAACTTCAGTGCCCAGCTGTTTTATAAAATGACTTTTTGTAAACTGTTATGCTACACAATTATGACCTGCTTTAAAACTTCACTCTTTAGTTTGAACAAATGGTCTTGGGGATGAGTGCAACAGGGAGCCTACAACGTACTGATAAAAGGAAAAACAGGTTGTTGATTCTGGTCTTTTTGTGGAATATATAAATATTTAGGGGCGGCTGTGGCTCAGGAGGTAGAGCAGGTCGTTTCCTAACCGGAGTATTAGCGGTTCGATTCCCGGCTTGTCCAGTCAACATGTCGAAGTGTCCTTGAGCAAGACACTGTACCCCCAGTTGCTCCCGGTGATGTCACTGGTGTGTGAATGTTTGGGAGTACAAATGGGTGAATGGCCAAATAGTGTGAAAGCGCTTTGAGTATGCTGTAAAGCATAGAAAGGTGCTATACAAATATAAGGCCATTTACCATAATAAGACAAATGTTGAATAATGCTAGTCTTTTTTTTTATATGCCTGTGATTTCACTTACTGTTTTCTCTTGTTTTAATCTCAGGCATTTTTAAAAGCCTATCCCTGTTCAGTTCTACTGTATAAACAGATCTAGGATGTAACAGGCACTAATAATCAGATGTACAGTAGCTTTGTAATGTGGGTAACACCAGATTATTTCTGTAACATTTCAGTGCAGTGTCCCATGTTGCTTTGGGAATGCAATGCAGAGTGTTATTTACTCAACGTGTTCTTTATTGTATCATGAAACCGTGTCCTTGACTAAATTAAAACTTGTATGATGTTCTCATTTTGTGTCTGCGCAAAACAAACATAAGTCTTTCAAAAATGTACAGTTGGCTTTTATTATGAGACCCTATCATTTTTAAGTAGGATGGTCAGTATAGATACACTCTATTATTTCTATTTACACCCTGTAAGAAGTGGGAAACATCTTAATGAAAAAAATAAAAGCAAAACTTGATGTTTTAGGAAACATTCATTATTGTGAGCAAAAATTCTCCCTGTTCTTGTCTCAGTTCTCTGTATATGTGTCTTGCTGGGGGTTGAAACCTCCATTTCCATCTGAAGAGTTGTCGGTAAACTAATGTAAGGCTTTCAGGTCACTGTCAAGGCAGGCTTCGCCATCCTTCTCTTCCTCTAATGATATAAACAAATCCACATTAGCAGTCATTTACAATTGTTAGCAAAACCAATTTTTCATAATACACATCGTGAGGCAGTTTAATCTGTCCTGGTCATGTTCAAGGACAAATGAAAAGTAAAAAATGTATTGTAGAGCAATGTCTTCATAATATATGTGGACACTTCTCACTGCTAAAGATCCCTCGCTGTGCTATATGTGACCAGCCACTCATGCTAGCACCAGTCTGAACCTCTTTCTGAATGTTATTGCTTTCAGTCAGCCATTTAATCAGTTGATTCCCTTTTTTTCATCCTTTCAAGAGATGTAGAACAAAACATGAAATACGCCACCCCAAATCCTCTCTTTAGTCCACAGATGTTTTGAATTTTGCACAAGTGCATCTTTCCTTTTTCTCTGTGTTCCCTCTTCTGTGGTGTATAAGCTTTTCACCAATTTGCTTTAAGCTTTCAACCCACACAGAAAGAAGGAATGAAGGATAAAGGTGAGATCAGACAAAAACAAAACTATGCTGTATACTTTGCCTAGGCCACAATAAGTGTTTTGTTCTACAGAACTCAGTTTTTGAAATTATCTACAAGTTATAGACAACAAGTAAATGCTCATCCCTGACCATGATGTAATAAAAAAAACAAAAACAAAAAAAAAACAGCTGTAATGCAAATGGGAAAACCAAATTCAGATTTACAAAAGGCTTTTGCCAAAATTTGATAACACAATCACAGAACATGTAAACAAACACATTAAAGAATAAGTCTGGTATTATTCCTTATCTTTATTATTGTCAACAAAGGCCCATATAAGGCCTGAAACCAACCAGTGGTGGAATGTAAATAACTAAATACATTTACTCAAGTATGGTACTTTATGTACTTGTAGGTTACTTGAATATTTCTAGTTTATGGTAGATTATATTCCTACTCTACTACATTTATTTGGCAGCAGGAGTTACCATAAAAATTACATATTATGGACTCCAGACAAAAGCAGTGTCTTGTGGCTCCATATTAAGGTTCAGATCTAAAAAAAAAAAAAAAAAAGGCAAAACAAATAAATTAAATACAAATTTGCGTAGCAGAATTTTGCTGTAGTGCTTGTTTGTTTTTCTCATGACCCTACAGATTAATGATGACCTTGTCCAAAAACCTAATGTATTTGACCGCGTGACTCCAGGACAAAATCCCAGGTTGGACACCACTGGAGTAAACTGGTACCTAACTGTATATAAACCTGGCTCAACCTCAGCAAACTATGACAGTAAAATGCATTTTACACCTCAGCTCAACTGAAAGTGTAAATCAGTACATATTAGATGAGAACACACAGAGCAATAAGTCACATCAGACTTTTGCTTCACAAACAATAGAAGATTAGATTTCTTAGAGAAACTATGACCAAAAAAGAATAACTGAATATAACCAGACTTATCCTTTAACATCTTAAAGGTTGTAGGTGATGTATGCTTTTTTGCAGAGAGCTCTCATACATCTCAAAGCACTAAAATGTTGTATCAGAGGCCAGCGTTTCACTGGGGCTGCGTGGTGGTGTAGGCAGAGATGCCTGTTACTTAAGGAGGTTGATAAAACCAACATGGCAGCACAGAGCTGGAAAGCTGTCGTCAAATGATAAAAGAGCTGAGAGACTGAAAACGGGGCTTATTTTTAAAATGGTGACACTAAAACAAAGAGAGTGACAATTACTGTGTGTAAAGCACAGAGTCTAACAGTCTCACGCTAGCTATTCTGCTACCAGACCCTGGTGACAAATAACCCACAAAACTTCAAAAGTAATGTCATGACAATACTGGGCAGATTTGTACTAGATGTAGTGTTAAATATCCCCCCACCCCCTTTTTGTTCAACAAGTATTTATTAATATTTCTTTACATTTAGATGAAAAAAGGGTAAAAGTAACATTGTATAACTTCAAAATCAGTTAATAACATATCAAAGTGAACAAAAGAGGACATTCACCATTAAGTATTCTTTGTGACATATTGTAATATCAGCACATAAATATCTATTCATTTCTTTGTGTTGAAACTAAAGCTCTTGCAATAACACATTTAATTCTATTATATTCCCATATAGCCTACATACTGTGTCATTTATAGCTTATATCCTTGAATTTAAAACAAATAAATATTTAATAAATAATGTGATACAAATCTTTTTTCCCTGTTCTTATCAAATATCAGAGCTTGAAAAACTTTTGAGTTTATTTGCCAGCAGTGTGATAGCGGCTGTCTGATGTGTTGCAGTAGTGTCCTGTGAGCAGAAGATGGCAGCAGCAAGGCCACATGGGCAGCAACTCCTTGACAGGAAAGCTTAGCTTCTTATCAACTAGTTCTGATGTTCTAACCTTGTGTAATAGAGAGAGAATGGTATATAACTCATACAGTGTTGGCATCCCGAGAGGGAGTGAGCCCTTTCCTGTCTTTGATTCCGTAAACAACACTGTTACTGGAGTTTGGCCTGTCAACGTCTAGTCTTTGTAGATGTCATTGACATGAGCATCAACAGATAGCTATGTTTCTGAATGAGGACTGGATCCAGGAAGATAGGCCTTCGTGTAAACTCTTACTGCAGTATCATGATGTCTATGTCTGGCAGATACTTCCAGGATGGAGCCATATTGGAGGTGGTGTGGTTTTGGGGGCGTTTAAAGTGCAGTCTCCTTCAGGTCATTGAGGTTTGGCATCCTAGTGCGGGAGGCTCGGGTAAAAGTGGGTCCGTTCTTCCCTGGTTTGATGCCCAGCTGTTCGGGTGTGAACTGAGCACCCTCTGCCCGCTGTAAAGCAGACACGTGCCAGCTGGACTCGATCTGCCCAGGGAGGGGGTAGCTGGTCTTGCGGCTCTTAGCCTGGGTGGAGCTGCTCACCCCAGAGTGCCCCCTGCTCTCAGTGTGCCCTCGACCCTCAGAGTAGCCCGCTTTAGAGGAGGGCTGAGGGGGGTTGGGGAGTGGGGCTTGGAAGCGCAGGTCTGGAGGGGGAGCAGGAGGAGGTTGTCCTTGATTTGAGGAAGAAGGAGATAGGTGAAGGAGCCTGCGGAGTGACTTGAGTGGTTGGCTCTGGTAGGAGAGAAACATACATAATCGTCAAGGATTTAAAACATCTTTCTTTTCAATATTGTCCTCAAATGAAAGCACGGTGTGTTTGTCTCACAGTACTCTGCCTTTCTTGTCCGTGACATGGCCAAATTAACCCTGGTGTCTGAACCAGGCACCCAGGAACCAACCGGAGCTGCTATTACTTGACTAATCAAACAGAGGACTGACTGTTGGCAACAGTGTTTGATTTTTAAGCAAAAATTCAAAATAAAAAATAAATAAATGAATAAAATCATTGGTACTGGCTTCTCAGATATGACTATTTTTCAGCTTTCCCTGTTTTCTGTGATAGTAAACTCAACAACTTTGGGTTTTTGACTGTTGTTAAGATTAGAACATGCTTATATCTTGTTTTCATATTGTGTTCTCACATTTTATATACTGAGCAGCCAAGTGATTATTACAAAAAATATTTTTCAGATGTACTGATAATGAAACTAATCACTTTTCAGCCATACAGTACTTATACTGTATATTGGAATAATATTCCCTTTCTGCAGGCTTTCTGTGTTATTGTATGAAATCTCTAAAAGTTGCTTTTTTTCCAACCCATTAAGATTTTGTGAGCTTTATTCCAGATTCTCTCTATTTTTTCTTTTAAAAAAATCTGTTACAATGCGATGAATCCAACTTGTCCATACAATTGTTTGTGGCAGCAAAGCTGTCACTTGCAGACAGATAGTTACCAAGAATGTAGATGCCTTTCACAGGGTATGGGACTTATATTATATTATACTCTTATTCATTTTTAAAAAATAATTAACAATTTTAAATTCTAATATTATTACAGTCTTTCATATTATTTCAAAGTCTTTCATAATTCATAATATATATAGATATATATATATATACAGAGAATATGGTTTAGACATGTGTTTGACAGTGTGTAAATACTGTACATACCTGAGAGTGTGAGTCCACAGGTTTGTCTGGTGGCCAGTCACTGACTCGCTCCCTGTCTCTCCCTCTTTCTCTCTCTCTCTCCCTTTCCCTGTCCCTCTCTCTGTCTCGGTCTCGGCTCTGTTCTCGTTCCCGGTCTCGGGAACGCTCGCGGTTTTTTCGTCGGCTGCCGTGATGAGAGGATGACTTGGAGCTCCTCTGCAGCAACAGGTGTTCTTGTCCGTTACCAGGAACCTAACATTTAAACAAAATACAGGGGCTATTACTTAAAGAAAATATGTACTTTATGTAAATGTTATTCCCTTTACGGTTGGGTTATCACAGTCATATCCATCACACACAGTGTGGTTCTTCATGCACCCTGTTGGCAGCATCAGACAAAACACAAAGAAGTGGTGAGTAGTGATGACTTTACACAGATTCTTGTGTCTGAGTGTGTTTTCACAACCTAAAATGTACTCTAGGACTGAAACAATAAGTACTTTCATTATCAGCTAATCTGTTGCCTAATTTTTGTTTAATGGATTAATCATTAAGTAGAGCTGACATCTTTGAAATGTTTTTTTTTTTTTGGATTAACGGTCCAAAAACAAAAAGAGATTACATTTACATTTACGCAAAAAAATAAAAGCAGAGTCTGTAAATGTCTGCAGTATGAGTTTTGGATACATGTGTGGGGTTATGTGCTTATAAACATGTTCATGACCCTCACATGATAAAATAATGCTTTATTTGAATCGGATGAGTCACAACGTGCAGAACAGCACACACTGCAGTATGAAATCAGTGTCTTACAATGCAATGTAAATGCAAGGTGACTGCATTTGACACATATTATACAGCCAGACAAAATGGATGCACAAACATCGTGCAGTATTAGACTCAAAACAGTTTTTGAAATCCTTTCAATTTGGAATAGTTTCTTAGTCAATCGTCGGGTAGTTGAGAGGATTTCAAACCAGGTCGTTCTGGTGAGTGCAGTGTGAGTTAGCATGCAGTCGTAGTGTTGAGGTTAGATTACTGGTGAGGCAGGGTAGACCGCAGAAGGCTGGTGTTGTACCATAGGCGAGGCGACTACAGGTAGAACTTTGACAGCTGAGTTGTGCTTTAAGCTATTCTTAGAACTAAAGAGGGGGAAAAGACTTTTCTTGATGCTGGGGTTCCTCCTGTCCTCCATGTCCGTCTGTGGATCAGAAGACGCACAACCACAACTCTAAACACAAAACTCTGACAGCAAACAGAAAAACATCTGCAGCACTTGGTCCTCAAGCATCTAAACGGATATCACTACAGAACACATACTGAGACAAAAAATCAGTAATAGCATGAATTTTGCTTGTTAAGTTAAAGAGAGAGTGGCCAGTCAGTGTATGGCAGCATCATTACAGTGAGGTCCAACGGGGAAAGAAATGAGTGGTAAGCTGATCAGACAGGGTGTAAACAACATAACAGTATTACATAACCATTATTAGGTTGTTTAAATCACAACCAAAAGTGCTTCCAAAATGTTGGTAATAATCCCTAAATCTGCACTGGAAATCTTTAAGTGTGCTTCCATATATATTTTAATGCAAATTTTGCAAATAAAAAAAAATGAGCGGAACAAACAAAATTAAGTGTGTTGTAGAACATCACACTTAATTTACAGTAAGTAAAGCATACACCTTAAGGTCACGCAAGCTTCTGCTCCAGAGTGAAACACAGCTGTATGCAAAAACAACCTCACTGGTCTCATTGTGTAGATCAATGAGAAAACTGTAACCGTCCTTGAATTATTAAATTTAATTAACATAAATGCTATATTTCCATCACGTTTTTCATCATAACATCATCTACTGCACCTCCACCCTTTTCTTTTTGCTGTGGTTTAATGTAAGCGTGCACTATTATTTTCATTTTGATTAATTTGCTGGTAAATGTTTTGATTATTTGATTAATAGTTTTGACTATAATATGCCAGAGAGTATTATAATTTCTCACAGGCCAAGGTGACATGTTCAAATGTCTTGTTTTTGCAAAAAAAAAAAAGACTAATCAAGTATTAAACTATCAATCGGTAGTTGCTGATTAATTGCCTATTGATTGTTTGATTTTTTAGCTAGTTGAAAATTAGCACTATCTGTTTATTTTGACCTCCTTTCTTCACTTAACTGCAGTGGATAAATATGTGCATTAATTAATATTTTTCAAAGCTCAAAGTTTTTGTGAAACTTGAAATGAGTAATAATTTTTTTGAGTACAAAAGCTGGTTGGTATATTCTAATAAATGGTTACCACAGACAGTTGGAAAGTTGTTTTACTGGACCATCTATCTTCCTAGTGTTTTCCAGAGAAGTTTGACTAAACTGGGATTTTTCAATTAATCTGATAATCTGTACTTCTTCACCTGTCGCACTTCATTGTAGTGATGCTGCTGTGTTCCCAGATTTTTGAGATTAACTTGAATCCAGTGCCATTATTCCTAATAAGAATGTTGGCAGAAATAATGAAAATAATATGAATATTGTAATAAACCAGACTAGTTAGTTTCCAAAGTGTTACAGACACGTAAAGCATTAATGTCAGAAGATACAGATACCTGCTCTGTGAAAGCCTATTGATAAGAATTTACTACACATGAAAATATACTTCATGGACAAGGGAAAAAAGATATATAATTTAAAGGAAACATTTTTACTGTGTATGCTTGATGAAGTGGTGGTATTATCTTACTATTTGTGTCTTCTTCTTTTTCTTTTTAATGGCTCTGAAGAAGCCTTGTTTTTCCTTCTCTTTGATGGGCTCTGGAGGATTCATGACCATCGCTTCTGCAGCAGTCCTGCATGCCAAATGTGGAGAATTCTTTATATGACTCACTTTTGTAATTACAAAATCAGGATTATATGCTAGAACACATGCTAGATAGAAAGATACCTTATTTATCCCAAAGGCAAATTGTACTTGTAAATAGATGAAGTACAGTAATGAACAGAATACATAGAGTTCTGAAAACACACTAGTCCTTAAATAACATCAGAAGCATAATGTTTGAATATTTTTCTGTTTTAAGCTTTCAGTTTTATGTCAACTATTCAAATTATTCACTTTTCAAACCAGGGAATTTAAAAACAAGTTTAACGAGGACTGAGTCTCTTTTTCACTTAATATGAGGTGTGCACTCTTTTAGTAAATTAAATAACAAATATTCATTTGATGGACTGGCGACCTGTCCAGGGTGTACCCTGCCTTTCGCCCGATGCTGGCTGGGATTGGCTCCAGCCCCCCCACAATCCCCTTTGGGACTAAGCGGTATAGAAAATGAGATGAGATGAGATATTCATTTGATCTCTGTGATGTAAATGACTGTGATCCTTTGTATATTTAATCCTCCAGAATCTATTGGCTCTTAATTCATGTTAGTGGCAGACTGTAAGAAATGTCCAAATTTGACTTGGTGGCTGAAATTTGTATTTAGTAAGAAAAATATGAGAAAAAAGTAAAAAAGTTCAATTCTTTTCATCTTCAATGTGTGCTGTCGATGTCTGCTTAGTCAAAGCACTGCCACAAAGTGTCAGACAATATAAAAATGTTTAGCAATGTGCATAAACATGGACATCTTGTCTAAAGTCACAAGAATTGGCTGATACAATAAAACTTTTATCATGTGCTGTAACACAGCCTGATATTACTGTGAAGAACACCATGTTGTGCCAGTTCAAAAACAGTCTCACCAGTCAAAAGCCGTCTGACGTTTGGAGTGGTTGACCATGGCAACAGGGTCTCCAGGTACAGGTACGACTGGCCCTCGGCCCTGCCCGACACCATCGTGGAAAGAGGATGAGTTATCTGGTCTGGGAGAAGGGACTGAAGAGTAAAAGGAAGCATAATTAGAAGTGTACATCTGTGTGGATTTAAGATATCAACCCAAGCTGATATTTTACCCTCTTTTACTAAGGATTTCTCTGTGTATGATTGTTAAACACAATGTGAAGTGGCAAATGAAAAAAGAAACCACTGTTTGACATTTACTATTGATCTGTCAAATTAGTTTCACACTCATTTATCCAGAGCAGCTCCCTCTCATTTCATGCCACTGGGCCAGTCATCCATGTCTAAAAAGCGTCATACTACACACCATTTGTTGTTTGGTGATTCCTGCTCCTTACCTCGGTAGAAGCTGCCTACTCTTCGAGGCATGGACTCAGTGAAAATCATTCGGTTCTCCTTAGAGGAGCCTCCGTCATCACCGTGAGGGTCATGATACATGCCAACCTAAGAAACACACACATCATGTGGACACACAAATGCACACATGGACACAAGACCACATAAAGTTCTTCAGTATTGAAAGCACTGTGATTGATAAACCCATTTACTCTCACTTCATCACTTATCATTAGCTATCACATTCTTTACTGGCTCACATCACAAGACATTTGGGACAATCTTAGAGCTTTTCAGTGAGGCTACATTTATATCAGCGACAATGTGCAGTGAAGCTGTTGACCTGAGTAGAAACAGAAAAAGCTATGGAAACCAGCAGTCAGAAGAGCAACTGTCTGTGTTCGTTCAATTGGTTGGAGGAAGGCAGGGAAGAGTCAGGGGGCCGGACCTCGTTTTTAGAGCGTTGTGTATGAAAAACAGGAGTGTTGTCCCTCGTAGAATCTTTGATGGGGGCACAAGGGTGGCTCATGTCCTTAGGGGACTGCTCACTCTGTTGAAAAGATGGACAGGTGCAGGTCAAAGCAGACTGGAGAAGCAGCGTGAAGCAGTGGCAATGACAATGTGAGACAGTGACAGTCCCTGCACACACACATCAGCTTATGAAACACCCACACACATATTTTCGGTAAAGAAAAATCCACCCTGTGGCACTCTTAGATTGCTTAATATATGAAAAATATCGTTTTGGTGTACTTCAAAAAATCTAATTATTTCTGTGTACCCATTGTTCATTAACCTGCCTAATCTTCAGCAATTTCTTATGTTTCCCTGTATCATTTACATTTCTAAGAAAATGGCGCTGACTTGTAGCATTCAGATGTGAGTTTCACTGGTGAGCTTCAGTGACAGTGGTACTGGAGAAAGAATAGCTTTCTTCTTGTGGCTGCATTGCATTGTGGTCTCATGATGTAAACTTAAAGCTACACATTTGTTAAAGTGCTTTTAAGAAGTTATTTGTACCTCCACTATGAAGGTTATGTGTTTGGTGTTGTGTGTGTGGCGTTTGTTGGTTGTTTAGCAGGATTATGGACAAATGGCTGGATGGATCATCAGCATACTTGGTACAGACAACAACAACTCCTAAGGTGTCAACTGACAGGAAAGAAAGAACTAATTCATTGACTAGCAGCCTGCTCCACCATCATTTCTTTGTCTGATCTGGGCCCCAGCTACAGTTTTAGAAATATTCAGCTCATGAGTCCAAATTCAAGCCAGCACAATCCTATCAGCCCTGTACATTTTTACATATTGACTAGCCATATATATATCCATCCATCCATTTTCCAAACCGCTTAGTCCCAAACGGGGTCATGAGGGGCTGGAGGCCATATATATAAATCTTGATTATTTTAACTGTTTATTTACATTGTGTAATTTTTTCTTATACATGCATTTCGATCTAAAGGGCAACATACACTGGGAACTGTGCAAACTCTGTGCAGAAAGACCGAAATGGGTAAGTATTTTAGTATTTAATTCTTTGGACGCGTGCGCATGCTGGGCAAATAGGACAATAATGTCTCCTGACGCAGCAATACACGCCACTACTCATAATGCCGGTGTGTGGGCTTGCACTGAAAATAATGGGAGCAGGTGTTTCGATGTACGTCATATGCAACAAGTGTGCATTGCCCTTAAATGTTTTTTAAGATCTTCCCTACAGCAACAGATATACCATTTTGGTGGAGAATAATACATCTCTTTTATTTTATTTTAAATGTTGGCTAAAAACAGTTTTTTGATATTTGGTCTAAAATGATCATAATCATTCTTACTAAAAATACTTCAATGAATTATTGAAAACATAATCTCAGAGTTTTAAACAGTTAATGATTTAACTTAAAAAAGGACCTTAGATCATTTGTATCCTGACCAGCTGCTTAAATTAACCTATTGTTTTTTGTTTGTTTTTTTAAGCACTATTCTGGCCCAGCATAGTAGCTGTGGTACAAGTGACATCATCTGCATTTGGCCTTTTGTTTCAGAGATATATCACCACATGATATAGTTGGTCCTGGTGGACACTTTTTACAGTGTCAGTATTTAAGGGTGCATGATTCCTTTAACTACCACCACACTCACAGGACTGTTTGTCACTAACCCTTGTCAGGTCATCAGTGCAGTCCTCTCTTGAAGAGCTCACTGAGTGCCCAGTGAGGGTGGTTCGGTGCTGTAGCTGGGGGGAGAGGAGCTGCAGGCTACTGGCTCGTGTTGGTATTGCCTGCCCCGGTGGAGGCAAGCCCGCCATCCCACCCTCGACCCCGTGTGGTCGGTGGCGTTCCCTCCTCACGTACATGGAGTGACGCTGAGGCCGCTGTTGAGAGGAGAAGGGCGAGGTATAGCCCAGGCCGTAATGATAAGACTCATGTGGGGAAGGCAGAGTGTGAGTGGAGGGCATCCCTCCTGGATCTAAAAGTTCTGAAGCACCACCATCTTCTGTAGAAGAAAGGAGAAAAGAGATCTGATTAACTTTTATATCTATAAAAGGTGAGACGTCTATAAATGTCTGTCTGGCTTTCTGTTTGCTAGCTTTTGTAATTTTTCTGTATTTGTTTTTGTGTGTTTACAATCTCCATTTCCAAATTTTTGTTTATAAATTTGCAGACCCTTAAACCCACCCGGTGCTGAGGATTTATGTCTGGATTTGTGTCTGGATGAGGAGTCCAGTGTGCTGCTCTCCATGTGGACATTGCCGCTGCTACGAGAGGCAGGGCTGTGCCCAGATCGATCACTGTGTCGAGCAGAAGGGCTGCCAGGCGGCCCTGGGGGACCTGAAGGAGCATTGAGGTCTAAACAGCTGGCAGGGAAGAAGCGAGCACCGGGTCCCACCCCTGCTGTTGTGTTGGTGTTTGGGTCATCTGGGTGGAGTCGACTATCACTGAGGTTCCCTACAGATTTGGCATCACTCAGCCCACTGTGGCTCTTGGACAGGCTGAGGTAAGAGGCTGAACTCTTAGAAGAGGAGGACATGGATCCATGGGCAGAGTCGGCCATACTGTGAGCATGTCGGCCATGTTGTTTCTCTGCTCCAGACTGCAGTGTGTTGGTCTTGCTTTCCAGGAAGGTGTGACGGCTGGCCTGCTGTTGCTGCTGTTGCTGCTGCTGAGAGCGAGAGGAGGTGGGTTTGCTGTGGCTGTACTTTGCCCCGTGTCCCTGGTCTGGCAGCTTTGGGGAGGGTCCCAAGCTGAAGTCAAACTCTGTCTTGCCTTTGCCTTCTTTGGGACTGAGGTGTGGCAGATTGTTGTTAACCAGGTCTTTGCTGGATGAGGGAGAACGATTGAGGGTCTGGGACATGTACTGTCCCTTGGGGTGAAGTGTTGGACTTAAACTGGAAGGGGCCGGTTTGTTACCATTGAGGAAACTCTCATTGCTGAGGTGATGGAGGTCCCCATGGCGAGGGAGGCTTGAACACTCTTTGGTGTTGGAGCGACGGCTCGTGCTCTTGCTATGACTCCTGGAGGGGCAGAAAGAGGGACAGATGGGGAAAACTTTAACCCAAATTACTTTAGGATTCATCTTCATCAAGTCCTAATCTTTTTGGATGGAAACAATTTTTGTGAATGCTGCACATTGCCAGTGCCCTCAGGTCTTAATCTAACAATCCTGCTAACACTTGATCTAAAAACTGTTCAAACAATCTCTCAAACATTCCACTCTCTTAAGCTGGAAGAAATCTATCCATCAATCCACCATCACTCAGGGAACAAGAATGATAGCAAATTTTGGTGTTAAATAAAACAAGAGCGGTTTACAGGATAAATTCTGTCACAACAAAGTCGTGAACTGCTTTTTGAATTAAGCGGATCCTAAGAAACAATGTTTGGTACAGAAAATCCTGATGTTTTCACTGGCACTGAAGGAGGGAGCAACACATGTTGACAGCAGAAATAACTTTTCACCTTTTAAATACTCTCTTAGAAAAAGGTTTTCTGAAAGTTTTTGTGCATATCGTACTCTGTGGTGGTTTGCCTCACCTACAATAAAAGTGCAGGGAAGCCACTGAAAGGGAGCAAGCATGATGTGCCATAGCAAAGTAAGGCTGCAGGGAAGAACTGCATGTCTTTACTTGGACAGTCGACCAGTCAAAAAGATCAACACAAGTTCCAAATTTTTAAGAAGTTTAAGTGTATGTTCTTTTATTTTTGTACCTCTTAAATATTTGTAAGAGTGTGCTACCTGTGTGCAAATACTGTATATATACTGGCTATGCGCTGTGGGATCATACAGTCTGATGCTGTTCACTGATGTGTAAGAGGAGTCAAAAGGTGGTGGGGGGACCCAGTAATTGTGCCATGTGGAAAAGGTGCTAATAGTTCCCTTTCCAAATTCCTGATGAATGCAAAACATAAGTATGACTTTGGTGAATTAAGGTCCCAAGTTGAATTAGATGATATAATGATATATACTGTGACATGACAGAGAACTGTTTATTTACTGTAAATGAACCAAACACCAATATCAGTTTAATTTAGAAAAAAATGTACTACACCACAATCTAATCACTATTACATTCAGTATACTGTGATCGAAGATCCCTTTGATATCATTTAGTTAGTCCCAGTGTAAGAGGGATTCAAAATGTTCACTGTAAAATGACTGCGACAGAATGTAAAGCTACATGAGCACGGTCTAACCTTGTAGGAACAGTATTGTCTCCATGATGGTGTGTTTTCCTCTTCGAGGAGCGTGGTAGGTTGGGAGACACAGGAGGGGGCCTCTCTCTCTCTGTCTGCCTCAGAGGCTGGAAGGCCGGGTGGTTCAGACTCTGCTCCGTCAGAAAACGCTCAGTAGGGTTTAGCAGCAACAGATTCTAATGGGAAAAGACACATTCATTATTGTAGTGGCTTGTTTCTTAAATTTGATCTATATTGTACATGCAGTAATTTGGTGAAGTATTCAAACCCCTTTTCTCAAATGGATACAGCTGCCATTTTTGCCCCTCAGTCTACACTTAGTAGCCCATAATGACAAGCTGAAGTGCTGTGGTTACGGGCATCCTGTTTGCTTTAATTACAGTCTTTTATAATTATAAGGTTAATAGCAATATAAATAGACAGACTAATTTGAGTTAAAGCTTGAGAGTAATTCTTAGTATTTTACCTTCATCAAATCCAGCATCAAACCACTCAAGATGCCTTGGTACCTTCTCTCCAAAGTCTGAGGATGAGTAACTGAGGGAAACTGACACACACAGACACACCCACGCACACACACGCACACAAACCTTGGATCAAATGCATATTCAAACTGAACTTTTCTGTGCATTGAAAGTTACTATTAGGATTTCCAACATATGGTAGATGTTCCCGCCAGCAAAAAGTAGATTCTCAGTTCAAATCACACAAAAACCTATCGCTGGGTCACACTAAACAAACTACCAAATACACACACATGCATGAAAACACACACTCACACATAAGTCTCACACACCAATGGCCTTCTGGGACATTTTCTACTGCTGCTAAACTGAACACCAACCACCTATCTCATGAGTCATAGCAATGCACTCAGTCACAGTGTTGGGAACACTGCCACAGGAGAGCAAGACAGAAGAAGACAGAGCCGGAGAGAGAAGGAAAGAAGGTAAAAACAAAAAGGGGAGGAGAAGATGAAGCAGAGAAAAAAGACACAAAAGGTGTCAGAAAGAATACCTACTCTGATTCCATGAAATCGAGGGTTGTTGTAGAAGAGTTTCATCTGTTCTGCTGGGAGTGGACCCAAAACCTTCTGAATGGTGAAGAGCTGGAGAGAAGCAGCATCATAGTCAGTTGTGTGGCATGAAACCTAACTGCATTTATTCATCACAAAAAAAATTGTAAGAAATTATACGTATGAGCTTCAGTGTTCATTTTTGACCTTCAGAAGCTACCAAACCAATCTCACCTCAAGATGCATTTACAGTCAATTTAACATTAGTGCTGAGCCAGTGCATTGATCTGTTCCATACTGTTTCCATAAATTTCACATTTTACAAATGAATGGTGCATACATCTATAACATGTCATAGTGGCTCAGGGATAGGGCTGAACCTATAACAATCACTGATACAAATAGATTCATCCATCTCTGTCAGTGTTGTAACATTATATAGCCCTCTCAAGCTCAGATTGGCTCTTCAGCAGAAATTTGTTTCAATTGAACTGAAATCAAAGAGATCCATTTAATCATAAATTATTGTTGAAGGTACTGTATAGCTGTTTAATGGGCTATTTGTTTCATCATGCTTGGTGCTCACCAACCTGGTCAATCTCACTTTCCCCTGGGAACAAAGGTTGTCCATCACTCAGCTCCCCGAGGATACACCCCACCGACCACATGTCCACTGCCTTTCCATATGGAGCCCTGAGTGGGAGAGAAAGTGAGAAAACTGAACAATATTATGAGAATAACATCAACAAGCACATGATGACCTTATGGTAGAGTAGGGGTGATAATGGTGACTGTGAGAATGAAAATGAGAATAATGGATGCTGCCTTTCTGACAGAGATGCTCAAAAAGAAGATGGTCATTTCTGAGAGAACAGAGCTGAGGAGTCTGGTGAGAAATGGCGAGAGATCTGGCAGCAGAGAAGCAGAGGAGCGGTGGTGTTGGAGGGAGAGAGTATTTGAGTGGGTGGAATTCAAAAGCTGTCTCAATAAATGTTCCAGGGCATTTACTAAATCAGGCTGCAGCAGTGGGGCTAGATGACGTTCAGCTGTCTCTGAGCTAGAACGGACAGTGAATGTAGCAAAAGTGTTAAACACAACATTAGCAAACAAAACTAACAGTGAAACAAAAAACTGGTCTCTGGATATGATGACATGGTCATGTGGTGAAAATGTATTTGCAGCTATCTTGATTTGACAAGCAATAAATGATTTAAGTCATTTACAGAGGCTGTATGTTGTTTTTCCTCTGTTTTACATAAGTGTAAACTGAATAGCTGGTGGAGTTTTGACTGTCAGACAAAACAAGACATTACAGGGTCACTATGAGCTCTAGAAAACTGTGAAAGATCCAGGGATAGGGGATAAATGTCATAGACAGTTTTCTGATAGTTAAAAGTTAAAATAAAATAGATATAAAATAAATAGTGACAATGATCTGCAACAGTCAACAGAATGTCCCTTTCTCAGTCTCCTGTTTCTCACTTAGTCTCCGACACACACACACACACACACACATGCATGCACATACATTCACTTACATTCATTTCTTGAAGACATACCTGACCTTAAACCAAGTCATCACTCTGAAATATATTGATTTACATTTTGGGGGCTTGCTTTATGTCTCCATAAGGACACTGGGTCCACACACTGCGACTGTGTAAACAAATTTACACCCACACATCAACACACACGTACAAATTTACCCATATACACACACAGACTCACCCCAGCAGCAGCTCAGGCGAGCGGTACCACCTTGTGGCCACATATTCAGTGTAGTTAGCATCTGTTCCTTCAGACAAGTTACGGGCAAAACCTGATCCAGAGTAACACAGAAATTAATAAATCACACAGACCTGATACTGTATATCACACATCCAGCACTTTTTAATATGCTGACTTTTCATACATTTATATCTGTCACTTAAGGGTAAAAAAGGCCTATTAGTAAAAATGAGGAACAATCAACCCTCAAATTGTTTAGACATCTACTGTAACAACACAGTCCTCATCCCATTTTATCCGACTCTAATTAGTTATGTCACTGCAGGCGGGCTAACACTGCGCTTCAGATAACTGGTGTACACAGTGTCCATTTTAAGCATGAAAAATCACAATAAACAGAATGCCAGCTCCAACAGTGAATAACAAACAAATCTCACCCCAGCTGACTCAGTAGGGTTGCATTAGCCAATTATGCAAACCTAATAGACCGTGTGATTTTGCAAAGACTCCTTTAAATGTAGAATATACACCTGGGAAACTGTAAAATGGCAAAGCTACAGTCTATCGGTACAACTTATTAATATTTTACAGATGAAACAGGTACCTGATATTACCCTGACTTTCTTGAAATGGACCTTTATTAGATGAATTGTGATAACAACCGCCAGAGAACATTTTATACTGCTATTTGGCTTTTTTCCCAATGGCAGAACTGGCCCTACTGATATACAAACTTACAAGGTGGCAAATTAATGGTGAGATTTTTCACGGTGAACTGAGCTCCAAAACGCCAATCTGGCCAAAATGAAAAATAACTTGATGGCATCACAATGAATCTGTCTAAAAAAAAAAAAAGTAAACACATTTCTTTGAATTTACAAGCAATTTTTCACCATTTTTCCCCTCTTATTTTATTTTCTTTCTCTTATTTTACCAACTCAATGTGACAATAAGGTTCATGTAAAGAATAGGAGAAGCTGAAAGACTCACCAAAATCACAGAGTTTGAGAACATCCTCAGAGCTGATGAGAAGGTTCTCTGGCTTGATATCTGGATGAGAGAAGCAAACAAAAAAGTTGTCAATATGTCTAAGTAGTGTCACTAACCTAACTTAGTCACTGCTATGAAACATAACATAAAACAAGACTTCCATTTGCATCTTTTTTGATTAGTCAAGCACTGACTCTTTATACAATGGAACAAATGCCAGTGAGTGCAGGACATAAGAAGTTACCGTTGTTTTTAATTTATTTAACTGAATTAAATTGTTATTACTTTGACATTCCACATTTTATTTATTCACTCGTGTTTTCTTTAAATGTTATGTTTCTAAATAAAGCAGAGCCATCCCCATGCTGCCAAAGAAAAAAATGTTGGAGAAATACTTTGGTTATATTTATTGACAGGTATAATTCTAAAAATATTGTAATCAACTTCTAACTTTTAGCCTCATAATCAGTCTGACCAACCTTATTGTTGTGAGCCAATTTCTTGTTGCTAAAGGATGTATTTTGCTTTGTTTCCCACTGACCCATCAGTAGTGAGTCTTATCCCTTTTCAGTTGACATAGAAACTGTGGCTAAGAGCAGGTACATTTTAACACACTGAGCAAGGAAATATGGAAAGTAAGAGTTGTGTTCTACTGTAACAGCAACGTTTACTGTACAGTTGCAATCTCATCCACAGTTTGTCCCAGTTTTCCTGGTGATATTTTTCATAGCTAGCTAGCTGGATGGATGGGAAGATGATGTCCCCATTGATAATTCTGCTTACAGTACTAAGCTCTGATTGGTCTGACTGTGTCTTCAGCTGGTTAAATGGCCATCAGTGAGTGCACAAACTAGCTTTTGAATCACTGAGCATATGAGATGTGGGAAAAGATACTGAGACCTGGAACTGGGCCACCTTCACAAGACAAGATGAGATTTTTGAGTAGATATGTAAACAGGAATAAAGATAAACTCCCCACCTCTGTGTACTATCTCATTTTTGTGACACCAGTTGATGGCTTTGATGAGCTGGTAGATGTAGATGCAGACTTTATCAGGAGGAGCGCCAGTGGGGAGTTCCTCTAACAGTTCCAGCATGTTCTGCAAACCAACAATGATTTTACTTCTAGAAAAAGCAAAGATGTATAGCTGCAGGTTTAACTGTGTGGCGTGGTGCAAGTTGCTTGAAAATATAAATATATATCCTAGATAATTCTTACAAGGGGGATTCTTTTTTCTCTCTCATCTTTAAACCCTCACAGGGGAGCGAGGGGGGACACATGCTAGAATGATTAGAGTACAGTATGAAAATAAACCCTGTCATAAAATAAACACTTGGCTGGAAACCCTGGCAACACAGTGGGGAATACCATTATTCATTAACAGCATAGTTCATATGTTTCCATGGTGATGCTTTTTAAGCTTAACTGAGCAGTCTTAGCATCCTGAAATTTAAGAGTCTAGATACAGTAGAACAGAGATAATTCAGGAATTAATATGTCCATAGCATGCACACACTGACCCTCTCAACATATTCAAAGACAAGGTACAGCTTCCCCCTCCTGCGAAAGGCCTCCTTTAGCTCGACGATGTTTTCCTGCTTCAGTGTCCGAAGCATCTTCAGCTCCCGGAGAGTCGTCTCCTTGACCTCCTCATTTTCTGTGCAAAAATTAAAGAGAGAGAATGACACAGCTGTTCAGCTATTCAGTTTTATCTCCTTCATCTTCGCCCTGCCATGTTCCTTCACTCACCTTCACTGTCTTTGAACTTCTTAATGGCAACCAACTCATTGGTTTCCTGTGAAGGTATGAGGAAGGGAGTTGTATTAAAACTGAAGGAAACAACTTATTGAGTTTAACAAATGCCTCTGCAACTTTCTAAGATAAATAGACAAAAAAAGAATAAAAAGAACATACTGTATTCTGATATTCTGCCTGTTCTAAGCACAAAAAATTAATAAGAGTGCCCAGGTTGCCGGTAGTGTCAATACAGGGGCTTTATCGGTGCTCTCACTTCGATTATTGTACCTCAAGGCACTCGTACACAAAAAGCAGTGCATCCTTTGCATAATTAAAATGCATCTTCAGTCTCCTTCAGCTTCTTGCTAATTGCTTGAAGGAATGATAGAAACCATTTCAATGCAATGTCTCAAGAATGCATCCAGTAACTAGTGATTTGTATCTACTTTAACAGCCCAGGAGGTTGTGGATAGGATTTGTCAAGAAACTAGAGCGGAAGACATACAGTATCTAATTTAATGAAAGGCTATGCCATGTTAATGGCCTTTTTAATGTGTGCAAAGTTTTGTGCAGCAACACTCACTGAGCACTTTACTGTTGGATTGTTGATTTATGTGGAGACGCACAGATGGTAGGGTCTGAATTTGGTATCAGCAGCATGAATCCATGGACCCAATCTGCCTTGTGTCAGCAGGTCAGGTTGGTACTGTTGGTGTGATGGTGAAATATTTCTTGAAACACTTGCAATACAAATCAGTCATTGTTTGAATGCCACAGCCTTTCAGAGTCCTGTCGTCATCTTCTGATGTTTTAAGAGCAAAGGGAAGCCCTATATAGTATCAGTCTGACATTCCTAATAAACTGCTCAGTGAGCATTTACTTTGTACTGTAAATCATGACATGAAGGAGGCTTTGAATGGCTCATGCATTATGATTTTTTTAGAGGAAAAAAAATTACACACAGATGCAAGTTAGGCAGCGAGTCACCGGCGAGCACAGTCTCTGCCTACATATACTGTAACATTATGATCTTTTTCACTGTAAATCTAAAGTCGGGCTTTTTTTTTTTTTTTCAGCAGCCAGTTTGCTTCTAATATTGAGTAAAGCCTCTGTTTGTTTTTTTATCTGTGCTGCTCCTTCCCTGTATAGCACCTGCAATAATTAGTTTATTGCTTTAGTCCGTGTTAAAGTGTTACTTATCATTTCTCATAAAAATTCCATGTGCCAAGTTTGAATGTAAGCTAATAAACTAAACATGCTTCCAAATAGTGGGAATGAAAAGGAGAAAGGGGTTTTATTCTTTTCCTGCTGTGTTAGTTTCTAGATTTGGACAATGTGCACACATGTGCTGTCATGACGTTGTGTGCCTACGTCTTTGACTAAATGGGAAAACCGTCTATTTAATGTTATTAATGGATCATGAGGCTTAAGGGTGACGACAGTGTTCCAGAGGCAATTACAACATACAGCCCAGTCTCCTTCTCCCCTCTGCTATTCTCCGGTTCCTCTATTGTCCTTTTGTTTACGGGGGGAGAGACAACAGAGTCAGTATCAGTGTCAAGAGGAGGCAATGCAGTGTGGAGCTGCACGTCACTGGAAGCGCTCTCACTTACACAAGCCAACTGTTTGAGGAACGCATTTTTTAAAATACAAAGTCGGTCTGTGTTCACAGGAATGGCTTTACAATCCTGAGAGTAAAGATACAGTTTCCAGTGAAGTATATGTGAATAACAAACTGGGAGTTGTACTATGTTTACCAGGAAAAAGATGCATACATACCAATGCCCATAAAGCATACAGTATGTGACACTCGGAGCTCTGTGGCAGCACTGTGCAAAGTGCTGATGTTGCTTGTGCTCATGTGCCGTGTCTCTGACCACCATTTCTTTACCCTGTGAGTCCATGTGAAGTCAGCACACCTAAAAATAGTCTCAGGTTTTTTAATTTTCTGCTGATGACATGAGCAAGTCTTGGTTGACACATCACACACAGGGGTAAAACTTGACCATCTCACAGGAGCACCAGTCGTGACTGCGTGACCATACCATGGCCGAATAAATACAAAAAGCAAGCTGCCATACTGTACAACATGTCACAGAAGAGGTGATATTGCTGCAGTGGTTTAGTCCCAACTTATCTCTTAGTATCACTATATGTCTGTGATAAATACATATCATCATTATTATGCTAAATAGCAATAGATGGAATTATTATTGGGCTCAATGGAGGTCACATGTCCTACTGCAGTAGGACATGTGACCTCACATCAGTGATGTGTTGTGCTTCATTTATGGAGTCAACGTTTGCAACTGAAAATGTAACAAAATCTCACTTAAAACAAAAATAACTAATGATTACTTTCATTATCGATTAGCTATGTCTAATAGTATGGCAATCAAAAATAACACGATCATAATGCTATGTCTTCAAATTGCTTTCATTGTTGCGCAAAAAGCCACACATGTATTCTGCTAACAAAGATTTAAAACTGAGATAATCAAGCACAGTCCTCTGTGGGAATCCATATTGGCACTGTTTCCACATGACAAACTACTTAAATAATAAATCAATTATCAAAGAGTCACTGAAGAATTTGCTGTTGATCGGCTATTGGTAATAAACTGACAAGTCATTTCAGCATTACAAAACTGCACAGCGATACTGTATATGCACCGGGAAACATTGGCTAGCTTGTAGGTTGTGCTATTGTCACTCCCAAAACACAAATTCAAGATAACACATAAGCCTCCATACACACACCCACATACGCTAATACAACACTTGCATAAAGTGGCAGAACATTGCACAAATGCTGGCACACATTCACTCAGCTAATTAAATGTTCCATCAAACACATAATGTACTGTAAAGAATCCACAATTGATCAGAAACATGCATTTAAAATGCACATCATTTCTCTGTAGTACAGCCAGTCTCTACTGAGTCACAAGGCTGGCTTTTACCCCGGTGCTCAGTGTCCAGCCTCGTCTTCCTAAGATTCCCTCGGCCATATACAGTACGTCTGCTGCATGACTCGTAACAGGGTGACCCATTTACTAACAGCATAGTCTCCGTATTCAATACCTCCCTGTGCATCTCCTCCTCTCCATCACACACACATACACACATTGCTTCTCTATCCCTCTGCCACCCTTTTCTCTTTTGCCCTGCTTCCAGCTGAGAAAGTAAAAATAACTGCTCTCTTGCAGCAAAGCTACAAAGCTTTTATTGCCATGGTCTGGGTCTCTGGCTACATGTGTGAAAATGATTCCCCTATACTATATAGCTGAGAAACCTGTCACATACCATTTATTTAACATTTTGATGGCTGGTACTTCATTCTTTCTGAATTTGGAGATTTCATGGTCCAGTAATATCAAAGTAAAAAAAAAAAAGATGAATAAAAAATTTGCTGTTGCAGTGTTGATTCAATTACATAAAATGTTATTGGGCTTAGGTTTATTTGTAATCTGCAAGTCTGACAACAGTACATTTAGTGTGGTACGCACACAAAGACAATTTACAGAGTATTGAAATGCAAAACACAGGCCAGGTATTTCTGAGGACATTGGCTCACTTTAGAAACATGTAGACATGTATCACACCGTGGGCCTTTGGTTTGCTATAGAATAATACAAAGTAACTGAAAAAGGCCACATTGTTGCTTATTCTACAAAGGTTTTCTAAAATGACCTGGACAAAATTGATGCTATCCCTTAGAAGTCGTGATAAATAACCAGACTGTAGTGATACTTCATGCAGACGACTGTCTTCAGTTAGTCTCTCACATGTAATCAGTTATTGAGCCTATTTAAGATGAGCAAACTACGCACTGTGCTGTTTGGTTTCATTGCTTGCACCGCACTGAACACAGACCAGAGAAACCTCAAAACAAAACCAATGCCAAGGTACAGTGTCCAGTGGCACCACAGTGAAGAATACCCAAGACCCCACTTTTGAAAAAGAAACACAACAAACTGACTGGAGTTCGATGAAATGCATGGTGACAAGCACAATGCTTCTCGGAGAGTGTTCTTTGGGCAGATAAAACAATGGGAGCATTTTGGTGAGTCACGTAAGGTCTATGTTCACAGATCACAGGATCTGCTTGCTAGCACATGATCTTAATTTTTCACATAATTGCTTTTTAATTGACTTCAGAAAACAATAATGTTGACCAAAAATAAAATGAGATTTACTTTTTTAATGTAACACGTTACAAAACACGTTACAGCAGAAACAGCATTAAATGCTTAAAATATTTCTTTCCCCCTCTTATGCTCTCTTCTCTTGTTGACTCTGCTGTGACTGTCACTCCTCCTACAATAGTTCTTTTCTGCTCTGTGTGCAGGGATAAGTGTTTTTCACAAATGTACTATGTTCATGAATGTACTGACAGAAGGACTGATGTCTAAATGTCTACGTCTATTCAGTCAAAGCAGAATATGTTGCTTTATCCACACAGATGAAACTTTACAAAACACTGTGATTAATGTGTGTGGCTCTGTTTGATTCGCTTTAGGAGAATCAAAGTTTTTCCACAACTGAACATAAAAGAAAAATCTACTTAAGGTGTATAGGAAAAATCTAGAGATACAGTGTGGATCTATATGTAGAATAAGATTCAATGCTGTGCAAGAAGTCTTTTTAGATGCTAACATTTTTATTACAAAATAACAAACCTTTATTAATGACATAAATTACTGGCTGATGAATAAGTGGGAAAAGTAAAGTACAGCCTGTTTCTCCCTGCCAGAACTCCAGCACCCAAACTAACCATGTCTGGTAGAAACTACATTTATATACAACAAATTTGCAACAGAAAAGGTTTTGCAGGAAACACAAGATTCCTATTTAACACATCTGTCAAGCTGCATAAATCACAATGTTTACTGACAATGTATAGGATTATCTGTGAGTGTCAGGGACCAAACATAAGGCAGAGGACACAGCTTTTAAAGTTCAAAAAAGATGGGCTTTTTATTCACCCAAAAATAAAGAAAAATACAAACAACATCAATATCAAATGAACTGGGCCCTAAAAGAAGCCAATAAAAGATAAGGAAACTCAAAATACAGCAAACTGACCTGCACAGAACCTCAAACAAAAACCAACTGACTTAATAAATGACACAAATGGGGGAACATACTGTATATACCGGCTGTATATACAGCAAAGATGCTATATAAATAATCTACCAATAAACACTGAACAGACAGCTGTCATTATTTTGTCCCGTCGGCTTCCGTTCTCATGCCTTTATTTTGACATTACTTCCAGTTTCTGTTTCACTTTAGTTTTGGACTTTTTACTCTAATCAGCACTCACTGTTTTCACCTGTTTTCACCCCTTTATAGGCAGCCTTCCCCCACTGGAAAGCTGCCAGATTGTTCTAACCCATGTCAGACTTTCCAGCAGTTTTTCCTTGTGCCTGTTTTTCATGTTTTGACCCCAGATTGTATTTTGACCAGTGTGTACTGCCTTGCCCTCCTGCTTCGGACTGCCTTCTGTGTATGGATTACTGGACTTCCCTCTCTGACCTCTCGTTTGTGGATTCCTTGGCTGTGTAAGTTTGCTGGCTCTGGCCCTGGACTGTATTACCGACCTGCGAGTGTGTTTCTTGTTTCATTAGTTTCTCTGTATCGTTTTGGTTTTGTACCGTGGCTCCTATTAAAGAGACATTTTTGCATTTACTCGTCTGGCTATATAACTGAGTTTACCCCTTGACATTATCGGCAGCTTCACGCACTGATTCCTGACAACAGCCTGCTAACAACTAAAATATTTACTTTAAATGTAAAAAAAACAAAAAAAAAACAACTTGACAAATAAAGTTTTAACATAAACCACAAACAAATTAATAAATTTCTCCCAAACTCCCCTCTTTCTTGTATTGGGTACTTGGTACAGTCCAGGTCTAGTGGGAAGTATTTAAACCTGCTGTTTCCTCAGTCCAATCTTTTTGTCAGGACCACCTCCATCCATGGACTAGGAAATGGTAACTCAAAAAGAATATACAATACAAAATTAACCAAGTGTGCATGCTTTATTGATTGTGTATGTCCAATGTCAAATCAAATGCCTAACCTCTACCTACAACTTTAATCTACACACATGAACAAAGAAAACAAAACATCTATCCATCCATCTTCATCTGAGACTGGGTCGTGGGGGCAGTAGCTTGAGCAGAGCCTCCCAGACTTCCCTCTCCCCACACACCTCCTCTAGTTCCTCAGGAGGAACCCCAAGGCGTTCCCAGGCCAGCCGGGAGACATAGTCTCTCCAACGTGTCCTGGGTCTGCCCCGAGGCCTTCTCCCGTAGGGACATGCCCGGAATACCTCCCCAGGAAGACATCCAGGGGCCATCCTAAACAGGTGCCCGAGCTACCTCAACTGGTTCCATTCAACATGGAGGAGCAGCGGCTCTACTCTGAGCTCCTCCATGAAACACAGAGTTTGGTGCAAAAAGGTTGATATTACAGGATTTGTTTCCTGTTTTTGACTAACTATTTCTGCCATGTGCTGTGAGCATTATACAATAATCACCTTTATTTGGCCAAGTAAGTTACACACAAGAAATTTGTTTCCGGTACAGAACCGAGGCAGCCATCTACAGCACCAACTCAACCGATGGCTCTAACCATCGGGGGCAACTTGGGGGTTCAGTGTGTTGCCCAAGGACACTTTGACTGCAAGAACCACGATTCGAACCCGGGACAACTGCTCTACTCGCTGAACCACAGTCGCCCCGTATGTTCAGTATCCTAATGTTCACCACTGTTGGTGGTGCAGGTGGTAAAGCTAACTCCAGTATCCTAATGTTCACCACTGTTGGTAGTGCAGGTGGTAAAGCTAACTCAACCAGGAAATAAATATGGGTTTAAGTAAATATCAAAATACATAAAAGTAGAAACAATTTCTCAACTCTTTAGTTTTATGCTGGCAGCAGCCATGGCTGCATGGTGTCCGTCACATTCTTATCAACATGATATGAGGTGGTAATTCTTGTTCACCTCTAATGATTGTTCTCATTTAATTACTGTATTCTATCAAGCACAATGTGACTCGTTTAATTTCATGCCTTACCCGGACCGTTGATAAATTATGAAAAAGACAATGTGATTGTTGCTGGGTCACCTCTGTAGCAACTGCTGCTCTCACTGAGATTAAACACTTAGTCAACAGCACTTTATTAATGAAGGCCTGAATACAAGTGCTAATAATAACGGTGGTAATCTGCCCTTAACCCCATTCCTATCTGATCAAGCCAGTACACCACTTTGGTGTTTTATTCATTCATTGATATATTTAAAGATGTTTTTAGATTTCAAGGCTGTTTCTAAGCATATTCAATCAGAGAGTATACTTTACGTTTACTTTTTGAAGCTTTCTAAAGCCCCTTTCAGACATGCACGGCCATCCAGGAATTTGCCTGCTATTTCACGTCATATCTGAACAAAGTCCTGAGTCACATAGCTGGCAAAGTGTTACCAGCAACCTAGTCAAATAGCCGGCTACATTCCTACTGGCTACATGTCTTAACCGAAGTGGTCAAAGTCCATGTAAAGGCACGGTCAAGGTGATGACAGTGTTACAGCACAATGCACAATATTTGATTTATTTTACTGCTTTGCTCTTGCTAACACCGCTCCCTCTCTTCATTCACTCTCTATCTCACTTAACCACCGCTGCTCACTTCCTCTCTAACTGGGGTATAATAAATGAATCAAGTACAGCATGTCTGTCTCGCATGATGTTGGATATCACGTGAACACTGTGGCTACTATGTTTGAACAAAGCCGTGCTGGAAATTTCACTCACAGCAACTCTGTCTGAACGTCAAAGAGGCAACAGCTAAACATAGCCCACAAAATCCCAGGTGCCGTGTTTGAAAGGGACTTAAATGTATTGTTCCTGCTGTCTAAGCCATTATCAGTCAGTGGAAACAGCCTGAGACTATGTCAAAAGCCAATATATAAAATGCCCTGATGCGACAACTCATTACTGTCTATACAAAACTCTAAATGAAAAGAAGAATAAAAACCCTACACTCAACACAAACTGATGTGCTCATTCACTCTACCACTTCCAGTCTCAACCTCTATAGCAGGGATACTTTACACTGAAGACACTGTGGTCTGCCCAACTGCTGCATTTGCTGTAGCATTTCCAAAGAGTGGAGAGTATGTGCGTTCAAGAAGACTTTGGATGGTATTGGTGAAATGTGGGACCATATTAATAAAAGTGCTAGAGAAATAATGCCGTTAATTAAAAGATGAATGCAAGTCATATTTTACAACATCAGCATAATCCCTTATAGTGTGTATTGGTTTTATCTGTAAGCAAGCATCAAGCATAAGCAACATAACTATAAAGGCATGGACGAGGGATTTTCCTCTGCTGGCATTTTTTAACATATTTTACATTATTATTATTTTATTTTATTTTACTTTGTTTGGCTTTTCTCAGAATTAACTTTAAGAAAATCACTTCAGGATTTGTGTCTCAGAACACCACAGGTTGAGAACATCGGTTTAGGTTGATAAACACTGCAGAGAAACAGCACGTAGAGGAAGATAAAACAGCACTACATGAGCTGAGAACCATGCAGTCACGTATGGAAAACACCACTGGATGAGTCACACCGGCAGGCCTTGCTTTCAGGCATACTAAGTACATTAATAGCATAAATTTAAATACTTCTTTGAAGAGCCACAATAGGAAATCATATACATCTCAGAGAACATTTACAGCCATGCATACAATGTGATATTTAAACCATGTGAGAGTAGGCCAGTATCATGTGACTGAGTAGTATGAGTTTGCACACCATTAGCAACTAGTGGCATTAGTTTCTAATCTGCAGTTTAGGGTAATGTATGTTGTGTTTCTCAGCATGCGTTGAAGATGACTGAACATCGTAGAAGTATTTTGAGATCTGAATGTGATTTTTAGCCATATTAATGGTATGACTCCAGTGCTACCAATGTGGTGGTCTTGTCTATCATTTTAATCCAAGATGAAATATGTTAACAACAACTGGATGAATTGCTATGAACATTTGTAGAGACATTCTTGGTTCCCAGATGATGAATCCTAATGACTTTGGTGACAACCCGACTTTTCATTTAGTGCCATCATCAGTATCCAGAACTTGCTGTAGGTTTATGACTAAATACAGTACATAAAACTAAAAACATTTTCATCAGCCACAGCTGTACACTGTGTTTTATGTGAAATGGCAAATATTAGCATACTGACATGCTAAGCTAAGATGGTGAACATAGTAAACTTTACACCTGCTACCCGTCAGCATGTTAGCACTGCATATAGCATCAGATTGCAGACAAACTGTCCCCATACGTCCTCCACCTATATAATCATAGATCTCAAGATATGCAGGTATATCAGCCATCTGTCCCCTGTGTTTGAACAGAGATGGGGAAACAAAGAAGTTTTGTTTTCTGTCCAATTCATTTGGAACACCTTGCAAACAGAACTCAAATGAACAAACTTGGTATCACTAGCCAAGTTTTAAGGGGACTGTAAACTCACTAGTGTACGATCCTTTTTCATCCTCTTATTGCTTTAGTTAGTTTAGTGTGACTAGTTCTTAATACTGTATTTGTATGTTTTTTTCTGTAATGTTTAATGCTCTTATCTTGCCAGGGCTACCTTGGAAAAGAGGTTATAAACACCATTGGGACTTCCTCTGGTAAAATAAAAGTTAAATAGAAATAAAAAGAAAACATTGCTGCTACCATGATTGTAGTCTCCTAAGGCATTTCATAGTTTCCCAGACTTAATACACTACGAATCTGCTGTACTATTTTGTGCCTCTCATCCTTAGCCTTATTCTTTGTTGTCATCATAATAGGATTTTAATCTCTCAATGAAAATGTGCATGAAGACAAAGACTTCATACAACAATAATGCAGCCTATAAATGCATTCGTACAAATGATAATCAGACCTGCAGAAATGAGAAATGCCGCCTTACCTTATGCCTGCACTTAAGCACCACTCCATATGCTCCTGGACAGAGAAATAGAGTGAAAGACACAAAAGATCAATAGAAGGTGAGACGTGTTGTTACGTTTCAACATCTCAATTATGTTTCAGCCTCCAAAACCTTAGACAAACATCTTTCTAAAACACAAGCTCAGTAGGCATGGGCCTCGAGAGAAGCAACAGCTAACAGGTGAGGCGGCTGCATATGTCCATCCTCAACACATACGTTTGCCTATACCTTTGACACCTAACACCACTCAGTCACACACACAAACACACACTGTAGCTTTCTGTCTTTACTAAGCACATCATGTTCTCAGCTGATCCTTTATATTTCATTATCTGTTTTTAAGCCTGTTTACCAGACTGCTATTGTTGCCATTCAAATCGCACATGCAACATAAAAGTTTAGGTAAATGCTGCTAATCTCAGACACCACATACACTCCCACTCATGTCTGCTCCACTTTAAATTTATAATTCAACCAGGAAACAAGACAAAAACAGGCAAACTCGCTCCTACTCCTCCATGTTAAACTCTGACCAGCTGTGTCTGATACCCCTATTACTGTCACTGTTTTGAACATTATAAGAGGGCAACATGCATTATTCTGCAATTTGTCAAAATCTGAGATATTGTGCATGATGAGAAAACAAATACATAAACAGTGAAAAACTGAACCATAGCTCTTCTCCCAGTGTTATCATGTAACCAGTTTACATGTGGAATAGATCTTGAGTACAAGATCTTACACTATCAATCATATATATATTTATGTTTTTCAGAAAGACTGCTCAAACAAACCCTTAAATCTAAAACTAATTCTATTACCATGTTGCAGGAAGGATGAGGTAGTTCACCAACCTGTTTCACAAAGGTGATTTGCAAGCTCTGCTTCCGTGCAGGTCATGCAAACAATTTACAATTACAAAATGTAGACATGTACTTCTTGGTTGAACTACCAATCTAAAGATGGCCAAATGTGTTCCAAATTCTATACAGTGACTTTTTCTTTTACCAGTAAAAGCCAAGGAAAATGCTGCTGTGGCTTTAGATTTTCCATTATTTAATTGTAGTAGTGTATAAAATGTTTTGATTTATGTACAGTATGCTGACAGTACAATAAACTCGATTAGCCCATCTTCTCACATTTGAGTGAAGCAAGGATGCATATTAGTCCGACTCACTGAAATCAGCCACAAACAATGCCGCTAACTGACAGAAATAATGGCTACATGGTTTGATATGTTAAAGACCTACAGTACTGTACTGTATGTGTAGAACACTTGAATCATTTAAAAATGTATGCAAATTTTTCTATTTTTTTGAACAGCCTTCAATATTGTCACTGATCCTGCGGACTAGGCTTTTAATCTTCTCACTAACAACACATAGATGCACACAAACAACACAGGCACAGTGTGGGCTTATACTCATGACCCCAGTATTTTATGTATTTTCTGCAAGGGTAGAATTCTGGTCAGGAAATACTGAATCTTCTATCAGCAGAGTGACCTAGTTGATCAGTACCTTTCAAAGCCATTACATAAGACAGCTGAGTCATATGTTTTCCAGTCTGTCACTGCTGTGGG